AGAAAACATATATAACTTGTGTGGTTCTGGAACACTTCCAGTGAAGCAAAAGGTTGGATGGGGTTAAAACTGTCAATCTTAGATGAGGTATAAACAGAAATCACTGATATATTCTGCTGGCTTACCTTCTGGAACATTCTATGGATATGAACATTTTGTTTATTACCAGTAGGTGTTTCAGAATAGAAACAATTTTGTCTCATGGAAGCCAGAGACTTGTTGGGTTGAGTTTATACAATGCTCACTTTACTCAATAGTGATTCTGCCCAGGTAGGATTTACTGTTCTATGAAACAACAATTAACGGGTTAGCGGCAGTCAGTTCTCCTTATATGAGGGGCGGCGCCATTCTATAAAGTTACTGTCAACACTGGTCGGGATGCTGGCCCACTTCCTAAGAAAATGCGAGGCTAGGTTCCTACAAGCCTCTGGTTACATTTTCCTAAGACAATCAATACATAACCTTGTTTTATGTGTGTTCTTCTGTAAAGACATACAATCAAACATGCTCTGTTGATTCATTAACATTAAATTCATGTCCAACAATGCTAGAGCATAGTGTTCTTTGACTTAGAATCCCTAGAGAGCACCTCAGCCCTATGCTTGGGGCCAGTTTAAACAGCAAAATCACCAAGAAAAGCCCTCATAAATGTGAAAAACACAGTGCTAAGCAGACTGTGAAAGGGACAGATACCTGTTCACTTTTATAATACCTATGAAAGTGAAGTAAGGCAGATTGCCACGGGTATCGATGTGGGGTTACAAATAGGTTAACAATGAGGATTAACCATTGTTCTTCCCCCTGGAGCTCCTCTTGGCCCTCACCTCAGTTCTGCTCTGGGAAGCAGACACATCAGCATCGTTGGTCTACATGATGGGCTTCCTGTCTTCTGATTCTTGGGCTGAGCTAGACCATGGGTGGTCCCAGTGGAGGTCACAGGGCAGGGTGAGGGTGTCAAGGGACTGGGGCCCTTTCCACCTGCCAGGAACAGTCTTTAAGGAAAGTCCACGGGGTCTGTCAGCTGGCCCTTCCTCATATTTCACACTCTCCCTCACTATGTAGTCCTGGTTGGCCTGGAACTTGCTATGTAGACCAGGCTGGCCTTGAATACACCAGAGATCCATCTGCCTCTACCTCCCAAGTGTTGGTATTAAAGGCATGCACCACCACATTCTGCCAGGCCCTTGGTACCATTTCAGTTAACAAGAGAGGGAGATAATAAGCCACATGGGTCCAATAGGGCTCTGGTACCATGGGGGAACACAGAATAGTCTTTTTTTCCAATTTTCTTTATTTATTTTTACTTTATGTGTATGAATGTTTTGCCTGCATATATGTAAGTGCACCTATGTTATACAATGCCTGTTGAGGCCAGAAGAGGGCATCAGATCCCTTAGAACTAGAGTTAGAGATGCTTGTTAGCTGTTATATGAGCACTGAGAACTGAACCTGGGTCCTCTGCAAGAGCAGCCAGTGCTCCTAACCACTGAGCCATCTCTCCAGGCTGCATGCTCAGAATCTTGAATCTACCAGGTGTTTAACTTCTCAAACAGAATTGAAAATGGGAATTGGATGTTTTTCTTTATTTGATCAAAAGCACCTGGCAGTTAATCTTTATATCTACCAGAGAAGGTTTAACTGTTATAAAAACTAGTCTGCTGCTAAGACAGTTGTATTTTTAGGTAGCTCCCTGACAGATCCTGTTAGAGCATTTAAGGTGTTTAGTTGTATCCACTCATGCAGATTAAAAGGGCTGTGATTTTTATTACACTGGGCCATATGCTCCTTTCCCATCAGTTCTTTCTACAACTCCTTCCTCTCAGGCACAGACTTTCCATTTTATTCTTTACTTTCAGACATCCCAGGCAGCCAACCTGAAGATCGATGTAGCAGTTTCTACTTTCCTGTCTTTTAAAACATTCTTTCTCCTGTCAGTTTGAATCTTGATGTCAGGGATTTATGGTCCCACTGTGTCTCATCCTGACTATTACTGACTGTCATGTACTATGGACCTTGTTAAAGATTTACCCACTTTATGTTTCAAGGACAGGGTGGCACATCCATATTCTGAAAACAGCTGATAAAGTGGTCCTTGTCCTTGCTTAACTCTTACTCAGGGGTGGGGCCATCCATGGGTTTCCCAAAGGATGTGTGCACTTGACTTCAGAGCTTATTCATTGGCTTTTCATATCTGTTTCTGTGTCTCACTTAATCAGAAGAGCAAATTTGGGCTTCATTTCATCATCCCTGCAGGGCAGGTTACTGGAAACTGTTTACATTCAAATCACTAATTGTTCTTGGCATTGCTGCTTTCCTTATCTAATTCCAAACAAATGGTCTGTTCCAAAAGGATGACCTGAACCATGGCTAGGGATGGCTTCTGCAAAGAGAAAACAGTCATGTCTGTTCTGAGAACAATCCAGTCACACATACACAAAATCACCATCTGGCCAGACATTTCCAGATGGGAAGACAGAGGAACTGCTGAAGCACGCAATAACCAACTTACTTTTCCCTTAGGATAAACCGAAGACTTCATCTATGTGGTTAAACCCATTTTAACATTTAAACTTCATGAAGCACACTCAATATATTATCTTCCCTTTTCATAATTAGTTTTTAATTTTGAGAGCCATTTGAGACCAGACAATTTACAAAAGCAGTTCTTAAATATTTTAAGCTAAAAAGATTCTGCTTACACATCTTAAAGTTTATTGAAAGCCACAAAGAACTTCTGATGATGATGACAATGATGATGATTATTGAGACAGGGTCTCCCTGTAGCCCCAGCTGGCTTGGAACTTGCTATGTAGACCAGGCTGACCTCATCTCACAAAGATCTGCCTGCCTCTACCTCCCGAGTGTTAGGATTGAAGTCGTGTGCTACCACACCCAGCTCAAGCTTTTAATGATTGAAATCTAGACCCTCCTACCTTCTAAATTCAATCTATTTTATGTGCTAAGCTGATGTATGCAAAGAAAATCCAGCATCATACACACACTCAGTGAGGACCTCAAAGATTTCCTGAAAGGGCTCTGGAACCATACTTTGAGAACTGAGTCCACAAGTCTGGTTTATGTTACAGGAGATGTATGTTCATGGGCCTTCCTCACCAGCACAAAAAGTTACATACAGTAATACTGACCATGTGCTGCCACACTGTGGTCCCCAAATCAAGACAAAATGGAGGCAGAAGATATATATCCCTCTCTGTTGATTCTTTCTCTCCAAATAAAGAGTTGGATAACTAATTTTTTCCTTAAAAGACAGCAGAACCAAAATGATTTCCTTTGATTCTTTTACTCTACCCTAGGCTGACGGGTGGGGGTTCAGGTATATAACTATGTTACTAAGGCAAATATTCCCAGGAGGGAGAATATAGTGAACACAAACAGAAAACTGGTTCATATTCCTAGCCGGATCTCAAAACTGTGTGCTTGCAGGTAAGTGGCTGCTTGGCTGTCCTGTTTGGGGGCGGGGGCGGTGGGCACTTGCAGGAATTAACTATAGTAACAAATATCAAGCTTTCTAGTCTCCATGGGGGTGGGTTAGGGTGGCTCTGGTGGTTCTTGAGGGTCCTGGACCTCAGCACTCATATGGGGACAGGTACTAGGTCCTATACTGGGATGCTCTGGCCAGGAACCTAGTCTGACCTCTTGGGGCTTTGTGTGTCTGGCCAGGGATGAGACTGCTAGAATTAGAGACATTAAAGTCAGATTAAGACAGCAATGAAGCTCATAAGTCAGAGGTATTGCTACAAAGATTAAGAAATGTTACAGTAGATACATTGGACCTTTTGACAGATATGATCAAGTATTCTACTATAAACTGGCCCTTTGATCTCTTTCTCCAGAGAAAGGTGGCCTTGCCAAGAAGGGAGAATGGCAGAGCTTTGGCTACTGTGTTTTGGTTGTCTTGAAAACCATCTTAGTTAGGCTCAATGTGGATAGTGGCTGTGAGGAGAAAAACCTGAATTGATGCACTGGTCAGCAGGTTCATGAAATAGCTGTGTATCGCTTACCAACAGGGATGTGTTTTAAGAAACATGCCCTTAGGTGATCTATCATTGAAAGAACACGTTACAGAATATTTAAACTAACATGGCTACAATGTCACTAGGTAATAAAATCCTATGGGATCACCATTCTGTGTGTCTATTGTTGGCTGAAATGTCACATGGTATATGTCTGTGCTGGATAGCTTTAGTTGTCAACTGAACACACCAGGGTTGGGGAAGCCTCAATAGGGAATTGCCTCCAGTGGCCATGTCTGTGGAGAGCACTAGATGCCCTCGAACTGGAGCTTTGGATGATTAACTGCCATATGGGTGCTGGGAACTGAACCTGTGTCTTTTACAAGAGCAGCCAATGCTCTTATCTACTGATCCATCTCACAAACATCTAGTGTAGTATCTTTATTTTGGGAAAAATTCAAATGCATGATTTCTGAATTTCTCCTGATAGTATAAAACAAGTGCATTTTTGTTTTAAAGGGAAAAAAATGATTATGTAGGGGTGGTTCTTGAATAAATGTTACTTAAGTAAGTATAATCTTTATATATTTAAATTCAAAAGCATTCATTATTCACAAACTGTCAGTTGCTAACTTGACACACTTTGATAGAGCGAACCACAATTGAGGAATTTCCTCAGTTGGATTCTCCAGTGGCCATGTCTGTGGGGCATTTTCTTGATTGTTGAGTGATGTGGGAGGGCCTAGCCCACTGTGGGCGATGGTCCTATATTGTATAAGAAAGTAGGCTGAGCATGGGCCAGGGGAGCACGCCAGTAAGCAGCAGTCCTCCACGGCCTGTGCTCCAGCTTCTGCCTCCAGGTTCCTGGCCTGAGTTCCTACCTTGGGTTTCCTCAGTGATAAACTCTGACTCCAGGAGCCCCTTTCCTCCCCAAGTTGGTATTGGTCAGAGTGTTTTGTCACAGCAATTGAAGGAAAACTAGAACAATGTCTCTACCTTTAAATCCACCTGAGCTCCAGCACTCACCTCATTGAAATGGACATCCTGCATCCCCACATCTTCTATCATAGATGCCTCTTCATCGATGTTTGGGGTGATGACCCTAAAGGCTGTGCATCCCTGTCTAAACATGCCTAGGCAGGGACAAAGCAGAGGAAGGAGAGCTGTCAACCTGAATGTGGCTGAAATTCAAGGGTTCTTTCTGCCCCGTGTGTTTCTGTGTTCAAACCACAGATGCTGAAATCTATTTGTTAGGCCAGCATCACCTGGGAGGCTGGGGACCAGCATCTGTTTTCTTCATTTGCTTCCTCACATTTAACCTTCACCTTCCCCACTTTGTTTCTCAATCTTTATTTCATACCCACCTTAATTAAAATGCATTCAACTTTCAAATAAACTATTGGCTGAAAAATCGTGATTAGATCAAACTAATAGTAAAATAACAAGTACATGAAAATTTGATTTGGTAAGATACACTCATATTGAGAGAAATGAAGCAGTCAAAACCAATGAAAGAGAAAATAAGTGATTCAAAATCAACTCTGTTTCCTTCGAGCAGTTGGTTATCTCAATCGCTCAGTCTCAGGACAACATGCAACTCAAGATTGGAATTTTCCTGTCTCTCTCCAATGACAGTCTGCAACACAGGTAATTCAACAGCTATGTCTGTGAGCTGCCTGGGCTGGTTTCTACAACAGCTGCCTAGGGTGAAAAGAAGCCCTTTTTCTACAAGAAGCAGAAAGCACGAATACTTTCAGGGCCTCAGCATCTGATACTCTTTAAGTTGTATGTGTGTGAGATCAGTGTCTTGGGTAAAGATCAACTCTTTGAGCAATAAGGGCTCATATGGGGTCTTTCCTCATGTTGGTCATTGGGAAACAGTTTCAAGCCAGTTGTACAATATCAGCTGTATGAAATGAGTAGATGAAGGACTTGAGACATTCCACTACTCAATAAAACAAGAGTGACAACGCGTGACTATAAACCTGGCACTCAGGAGGCAGAGGCAGGAGGATTGTGAGTTCAAGGCCAGCCTGAGCTATATCATGAGACCTTGCCTCAAAATGCCAAGGGCTGGACATATAACTCAGTGAGAGAGCTTGCCTTGTATGCAACAAAACTCTGGGTTCTAGCCTTAGTCACACATCTAAAAAAAATGAAGTCAAAACTTGAATCAAAACTGCTCATACTTCAGGAAAAAGGAATACAGAGTATTTTGGAATCAGGCTTTGAAAAAGTTGAGCCTAAAGGCAGAGACATTCCTGCTACACCTGCATCCAGATTTCCAGTCATTCCCAGGTTATCCACTATCTCCACCACTGTTCCCAGATAGCCTTGCTTTGATCTGGTCATATAGAAATGAAAGAGTCCCCAATGAAAAGCACAGAACCTATGGATACCTTAATATGCCCAAAATAAAGTTACAAAAGCCAGCCACCAACGTTAACGCTACAGAGGACATCATTTCTGTGCCAAGTAAACAGCAAACATGATGATTAAAACGCTCTTCTCTCATTGCCCACAAGAACGATTTCGAGTGACCCGGAGAGTGCAGGCAAAGGGAAGGAAGGAGAGTGGAGAGTCAAAGAGAAACCCCAGAACTCGGGAATGGCATGTGAACAGAGCAGCTGGGGACCCTAGGAGCTGGGTGACCCTCAGGCTCACCTCCCTGGCTCCTCCTCTGGCAGGTGCTATGGCTGTAGGGGAAGAAAGGTGGTTCCCTCCGGAGTGCTAGGTCAGCTTCTAAACATGAGGAAATGTATCATTTGATAAAAGGTCTCAGCAGGAAATAGTGAGTGAACACAGGGCCCTTTAATTTCTCTCTTTCTGGCTCTGATGAATGACAAACCCAGACTCTTTCTTTCTTTCTTTCTTTCTTTCTTTCTTTTTTTTCTTTTTTGTCTTTTTGAGACAGGGTCTTCCTGTGAGCTGTCCTGGAACTCACTATGTAGACCAGGTTGGCCTTGATCTCACAGAGATCCGCCTGCCTCTGCCTCCCGACAGACATTACTTTTTAAAAGCACACATTAGCCCAGACCTGGTGCTGCTGTTCTTCAGTGCTGTCTACAGACTGCCACCTTTTCTAGAACCTCAGTATTCCAAAACCAAATGCCACCCTTCGCGGCTCTGCCAGGCAACTGATGTTTAGCCAGAAGGAACCATTTGTCTGGGCACAAATGCATAACCAACAAGCATCACTTGCCCCCTCATCCCTTAGGAAGCTAGCTCTCTTCTTGCATGATAAAGCCTCCTGGGCTGCATTCCAGAAAATCTGTCTGATAACTTCCTGTTACAGTTGTCACTTGATTGATAAAGAGTTCCAGTGGGAATTATCTTAAGGGAAAATAAAGTCATTTCAGCTCTAGCTTAGTTGGCAGGAACAGCCAGATGTTACTCATTAATTACTTTTTGCAGAACTCTATGAGGTTACATGACATGACACCTGCTCTTCTTCATACTGGCAATGCTGTTCTGCCCACCAAGTCAGTCAAATGTTGTGACAGGGAATGAAATAACGAGCACGCCTTATATGCGGTCCAATCCCCTACTTCCAAATCTGCCTGAATGGTTCTCTCCACAAAGCACAGGAATCATTCCTTACCCTTCCGTGTGAGATACTCTGCCACCAAGGCCGTTACGTGGACATAGCACATTGCTGCCTGTAATAAAAGACACATAATAAGGGTGGCACAAAAATCATCCTTTAGAACTGCATGCTTAAGGAAAATATGTCCTTTTATTAGCTTTTTTGCTTTTAGTTTTTGGTTTTCAAGACAGGGTCTTAATGTAGCCCCAGCTGGCCTGGAACTCCCCATGAAAACTAGGCTGGCCCTGATCTCACAGAGATCTTCCTGCCTCTGCCTCCCCACTGCTGGGATTAAAGGCGTGTGTCACCATGCCTGGCTTTTTATTGGCTCTTAAGACTCCAACTATTAATAGCTCTTTAAAAAAGGTGGGATGTTTTCTATATGAATTTGAAACTGAGAGGTGAGATAAATAGCAATAAATTTGCTAAGCCTTGCTTTAATGTACAATTACTATATTTTACATAAAAGACTAGCATTTTCTAAGGTTTCTACATAATTTCTCTTTATTTTATTTTGTTTATTATTTTTATTTTATGTGTATATGTGTATTGCCTGCATGTAGATAAGTGCACCTGTGTTGTGCAATGCCCAAGGAGGTCAGAAGAAGGCGTTGGATCCCCTGGAACTGGAGTTATAGATGAGTGTTAGCCACTATGTGGGTGCTAGGGATCGAACCCGGGTTCTCTGCAAGAGCAGCCAGTGCTCTTAACCGCTGAACCATCTCTCCAACTCCAAGACCTTGGTTTAAAAGGCTTACATTAAAAAAAAATTTTTTTTTTTTTTCTTTTTTTTTTTTTTTTTTTTTTTTTTTTCGTCTTTTTGAGACAGAGTCTCCCTGTAACTCCAGCTGCCTGGAACTTGCTCTGTAGACCAGGCTGGCCTCAAACTCAGAGATCCGCTTGCCTCTGCCTCCCAAGAGCCGGGATTAAAGGTGTGTGCCACCATGCCCCGCAGTATGCTTGTTTTTTAAATTTTGTTTTTATTTATGTGTGTGTGTGTGTCTGTGTGAGTGCATGTCATGTGTGTCCAGTGCCCACATGGGCCGGAAGAAGGCATCAGATCCCCTGGAGCTAGAGTTATAGGTGACACAGATGCTGGGAACTGGACTTGGGTCCTTGGAAGAACAGCACCATACTCTTAATTGATGAGCCATGTCTCCAGCCTTTTTTCTTTTGCTGTAATTTTTTCCAAACATAATTCTAAATAAAAATTCTGGACTGGGTATAGCTTAGTAGTAGTGCTTAGCATGCCTTGGCTTCAAGTCCCCCATTCTCTCTTACCAAAACCCATCAAACTCAATGCTATAAATATCTTAAGATGAGAGAACAAGAAACAAAAACAATTCCTTTCGCTAAACTACCATGTTATCAAAATAAAAGGGAGCTGTTGGAAAGGGAGCCATGAGAAGGTTCTAACATGAGCCTTGGCCCTCACCTAGGTGGCTGCCACCACGTGGTGTGCTTAGGTTGCATGTGCATCTACAGAGGCTGCCTGACGTAGGTGTGTGTAAGTAGTAATCAGCAGTGTAGAGCACTCTGATCTGTGCCTAACCTGAGGAGGAATGTCTCTGGAAGTTAGATTCACTACTATTCAATCATGAGTGGTGGAGCTCACACCTCACATGGTATATCCCTTTCTAAAGCAAACACTGAGAGCAGGCACAGGCCAGGCATGGAAATGAATGATGGCTTTTAGAACAACTGCACACCATCAAATATGTGAGAGCAACAAGGCATCTTTTTATTTTATTTATTTTTACTTAATGTATATGAGTGTTTTGCCTGCACATGTATAAGTGTACCCATGTTGTGCGATGCCCATGGAGGCCAGAAAAAGGCATTGGATCTCCCCGGAACTAGAGCTACAGATGGTTGTTAGCTTCCATCATTCACAGAGGGATGGAAAAATCACTATTACTACTTTCCTTTTATGATGATCAATGTGTAGTTTAGGTTAAATTTATGGTCAAGCAGAATGGTGTATGTATGTTTTAGCACAATGGACTCCTTGAACAAAAACCATGTAAAAACAGTGATATAAAGCTTTCAGACTTAGAATCTTAATCATTAAGATGGATATGGAAATCTCAAAGTCTACTGAGTATACTCCTTTTAGTAATGCTGCTACTGTACTCAACTATCTCCAGCCATAAGCTGGAGACAGATACACCAGGATCTGTGTATAGTCCTCAGTTCTCTTTAATTTCCCCTTTTACACATGACACAAATCAAGGCACAGAGAGGCTAAAAGTGGTTCAATGTCACAGACTTAGAAATGTCTGATCCTCGATTCAGTCTGAAGCCCACACATCCAATTCCCAGCCATGCTGTCTACATATTGAAATGTGCCTGCTCTGTGTAGCTGGGAACACTTAAATTTATCTACTGTGTCCACAAAGGGAGAATATGATGCTCCATCATTACTGTAATAACAGGAAATGTTGATTTTGTCATAAAATAAAACACAGAGGAGTTCTGATGCAGAAATGGTGTGTTAAGTAGCAGGCAACTATATAAGTACGAGATAGTCCCTTACAATCTGTTTTAAATTACCAAAATGTCCAGGTAACTATGAAACCACCCTGAGCTGAGAACTCATATTCAAGCAGCTTTTAAAGCACTGTAGTTTTCATTGACGTCTGTTGATTACAGGTGTACATTCACAAATGACTTTGAGAGAGAACAGTGCATAACTACTTTACTCAAACACCTGGACAAGAGTGGGGCAGGGCTCCCTACCTCTGAGAGATCCCCATTTTTAACGTGGATCCTGGCCATGCTGTCGAGCCACGTCTTCCTGAGCTCGGGGGTGCTGGCATAGGACTTGGCCAGGCTGTACTGGAGGTCCACCAGCATCTCAGGGTCGCTCTCATGCTCCTTCATCTGGGCTGTGGCCATCAGGACTGTGCGGATCCTCTTGGTCAGATCTTTCACTTCGGAGGAGAAGCTGGTGTGCTAAAACAAAGTGAGGCAAAGAAGGACACATGACATTCAAGGGCTTTCTTTCTGCCTGGTACATGGACATCCCATGATGAGCCATTCTTGCAGGTGAAGGTAAAGATGGGGCCAGGCCACTCACCTTGATGAGCCGGTCACTGTTGGCACAGTTGTTGATAATGGACAAGGATTGCTGGAATCTGGTTCCCCCAATACCAACCACATCTGCAATCAGCTGGCTGACAGAAATGATGACCTTACAGACAAAACATGAGCAAATAAGTTCACTTTCAGATGATGGCCAGATCTGATTTCTGAGTTCAGTTAGGATGCACATGAAGCCAATGTGAAGATGACACGTATTGGGTAGGGATCATGCCAGCCATGACGGGTTAACAATGTTTGGGTCTTCTTTTTTTTTTTTTATAAATCACTTTCAAAGGTTATTCCAGAATGTGGTTTTGTTTACATGATGCATTTTGTTTGTTAATTTAAAAGGCTAATCAGGAGGGTACAGAAGACTAAGAAACATAACCCATGTGCATTGTCACTCACCTGTTGGCTTTTGCAGTGAGAAGGGAGACCTTGTTACCACCCCCTTCAGGTTTTTGTTTTGAGCTTATATGTCTTAAATATTCAATGGGTGGAAAATTCTTTGAACTTTAAAAAATATTTATATCATTTTTATTTTATGTGTATGAGTGTTTTGACTGCAGGTATGTAAGTGCACCATATTTGTGCCTGGTGCTGTTAGAAGTTAGAATAGTGTGTTGGGTCCAATGGAACTGGAGTTTTGGATAGTTGTGAGCTGCTATATGGGTGCTGGGAGCTAAACCCAGATCCTCTGCAAGAGCAGCAAATGGTCCTAACTGTGGAGTCATCTCTCCAGCCCCCAGTTCTTTGCATTATTTTTATCAGAACATATAGACATTAATTATGCAGTGGTCAAGCTGCTCTTTTGAGTTTATAAATAGCACTGCTTTCACCTAGTGGTTTGAAATCAAACACAGAGGCCATTCTGATGTCTTCTTTTTCCTTCGCCATACTCAGGCATACACAATCATGGAGTACTGCCAATTAAAACCCCTCTTCCTCCCCATCTCATCATTGCTCCAGGATATCACACCATCCTCTCTGTCAGATTTGATAACATTCTATGTAATAAGGTCTGGACTTCCAAGATCTTCTCTTAACATTGGAATCCAGGTGATTCTTCCAAAGAGGCAAAGATATGGATGTGTTTCCAATGTATTTTCTGTAACTTGTTCTTACTTGAACCCTAAACATGAAGGGACTTCTCAGGTTTCCCAGATGGGCAATTCCCTGGAACATGCTCACTACTCTTCACCCTTCAGGTCTTCTGGGAAGCCTTCCTGCTCTCTAGGACCCCTAGCTAGATGCTTTCCTGGTATCCTTAAGTTCCCTTGGGTTGTAGGCATGAATTCCAGTATGCTAGGTATGCGGACATTGACTACTACTTCAAAAAAGAGATAAATGCAGAGGCAGAAAAGGAACTCCTGGCATAGATACACATAGAAACACATCTACAAAAATACCTAAGACTTGCCATTATCTTGGTTGATTATCAGAGCAGAGCATTTAGGATGTTTTAAAGATTCAGGATGAATTTAGAATGTTTAGGAACAGCAGGAGATGTGTTCATAAATAGAAGACAGGAAAGAATCACTTTGGGCTTTGGTTTTTATTTATTTTATTTTTTAATTTTATTTATTTATTTTTTGTATTTTTGAAACACGTCTTTTCCAGCTGGCCTGGAACTTCTATGCAGATCAGGCTGGTCTTGAACTCACAGAGATCTGCCTGCCTCTGCCTCCCGAGTGCTAGGATTAAAGGCATGCACCACCACACCCAGCTGGGATTTGGTTTTTAAAGGTGTTTCTTTTAAGTGTCTTGAGTCAATGGAATTTCAGTTAGTCTAATATTGATTCAATATTTACATATCAAGTCATCAATAAAACATATCCCAGGCCAGGATCTTACAGTTTGGAACATGAAATAAACCAAACCAGTCACTATGATTTTCCTACTTTTCACCTCATGGCCTTTCATGATGAGGTAAGTTGGTGAATGTGACCCTCAGTGAGATGGGATTCCTCTAGATAGCTGTGCCCTGGCAAAGCTAAATCACACGTACTTGCAAGTGTGTTCGGACAAAGGACTTCTTTCCCGTGTAGTCGAAGTTGTTCCTCATCAGGAAGTAGAGCAGCTGGGAAGCCTCAGTTCGGATGGAGCTCAGTTTGGAGTTACAGCATTTAAGAATCTCATAGCACAGAGCAGCACACATGTCTGCTCTCCCCTCATAGAATGTCGAGGGAAACTAGAGGAAAATCAAGGCAGATAGAGTACCACAGTTAGTGCGCCAGGAAGTTCCCTATGGTTCTAGGTGGAAGGACAGAAACCTATGACCATTGTTAGTCTGACCATCACCAATGAAGCAACTTACTTTATAAATTAATGATCTTAAGGCAGTAAAGACATTTTTTAAAGCTGTTTCCGACTGGTGTTTTTGAAGGAAACACAGGTACACATCAAAAACTTTCTTCATGAGAGGATTATGCCCATGGTCAGCCAAGAGCTGGTTCTGAAACACATATTGAAAGCACTGTTAGAGAGAGATGCCTGACATCTTTCAAAATGCTTCACATGACGTTTAGGCGTGAAGGTCATATCTTCCAAGCATTTAAGACAACCTATAGTTTAAACCAATTCTGCTCTGAGTTCTCTAGGGAAGCACAAAATGCTCTTGTAGAACAAATAAGCCTATCAATATATTTATGAGTCAGGGATAAACATTCAGAATATTGCAATATGGTTTATAGGCTAAGTACTGACTGGGTTTCCATATTTTAAATAAGTACGTACCACCAACTGATTCAGGAGGTGATATTTGAGATATCCTAATTCCAAAAGGGGAGTGTCATTACTGGTGTCAGCTAGTTGAAGGGTGGGGAAAATGTTGAAATAAGGAACTGGATCCTATCCTCCAAAAGTGAGGTCCTTCCCTGGCCAGTCTTCCTGAGCCTTCTGCTAAGCTATAATCGAACAGTTTGGAAGATGAGGTATGCACACTTTGGTCAGGCACCATTTATCAAGTGCACTTGACCATTCTCTGTGGTCAAGGTATGTTTTTGGTGGTGGTGGTGGTGGTGTTTTGAGATGGCGGTCTCCCTGTAGTCCCAGCTGGTCTGGAACTTACTATATAGACCAGGCTGGCCTCCATCTCTCAGAGATCCACCTGCCTCTGCCTCTCCAGTGCTGAGATTAAAGGCGTGCACCACCTTTCAAAACTTTTACTTACTAATTTTAGGATTTAGTCCTCCTGGGATCTGATCTCAACAATGGCAAGAATTGAATGGAAACTCATTTGCATTAAGATGTGCATAATCCTCATTTAAAGGGTTTTGTAGAGCTCCTTATCTTAGACACCCCCAGCTCACCAGTTATCTTCCTTTATTTCCCAATCTTCTTCCCTCTTTCTCTGTTGCCTTCTCACTAATCAGAAAGTAATATACAATAAAGCAAACGCTTTGAACACTTAGAAGGGTTTAATTTCTCCACTCAGAAACAACCACAGATAACCATTTAGCACATCTCACTTCTAATTTGTACTGATGGCATGAAATTTTCATTTAGGAAATTAAATGAGACACTTGAATAATATAAAGGCATGCCATATCTAGCAATAATGCAGAGTCTAATTCTCCAGGAATTGTGCATGGTAGGTTCAGGTCTCACTGTCCCAACATAGGCTTTCATTGGTTTTTACCCAGGAAATAGGCCTTTCAGGGAAGGAAATGCTCAATGTCAGTAATTCCTAAAAGAATACACAGGAAAAAAACTTTAAACGTGGGTGACAAAGTGAGGAATGTGAGAGTTGTTTGGCAGTCTTTCCCAGGCATGTGGCGTGTACTTTCCTTGGGCATTCTGGCTTTTTGCTTGTCTGTTGTTTTGAGACAGGATCTTACCATGTAGCCCTGGCTGGCCTGGACTTCACTATATAGACCAGGCTGGCCTTGAATTCATAGAGATCCATTGGCTTCTGCCTCCTGAGTACTGGGATTAAGGGTATGCATCATTACACCCAGCTAGACATTCATTTTAAGAGAACTTGCAGTTTGGAGAAAGACTGCTTCAGTTACAAACAACTGCCATTTACTATGATGACCTAAACCTTGTCTGTGCAGACCAGGCTGGGGCTGTGTAAACCTGATGCCAAACGCTCATTTGTACCTCACTCTTTTACTTCCTATTGCTTCTCATGATTATGTTTTAGTTCTTACTATGCAATTCAAATCAAGAAGTATTATATGGAACTGCTATGTTTTCAGATTAAACTTGTAAACACATTAAAAATCATAAAGCATCCAGGCGTGGTGGCACACACCTTTAATCCCAGCACTTGGGAGGCAGAGGCAGGCGTATCTTTGTGAGTTCAAGGCCAGCCTGGTCTACATAGTGAGTTCCAGGACAGCTGGAGCTACAGGGAGACCCTGTCTCAAAGAGACTAAAAAAAAAAAAAAAAAAAATCATAAAGCATTTCAAGGTCCACATTGCTTTGGATATGTGCTAATAACATATATTGTAAGGCAGATAGGGAAGAACTACACCTTTCTGTTCAGGAAATACATCCTTTTAGGTATTAAATGAAATAACACATTCGAGAACACCTAGCACTGTATTTGGCACCTGATAAGTGTGTGGTTAACTTTTTTCTTCTTTTCCTTGTATGAAAGATAATTCTAATACTTTGCTATTCATTCAGCTCAGCTCATGTCTTAACACACACACATACCCCATAGCACACAGCAGAGAACAAGGCCTTTGAACAGGCCAGCTGTATTATGATCTTGGGCACATTTCCTAACCTGTCAGCCTTGATTCCTCATCTGTAAAGTGAGCAATAATGAGATCTATTGGGGAGGGCTGCTGTGAAGATTACTGCCTGAGGTACAGAAGGCAGGCAATAAATGGCAGGAAGCAAATCTGATAGCTACGACAACCAGAGTTCAGGGGCAAATCTTTTCAAGCACTTAATCTCATTGAGAAATTGATTTCTGACTCTCTGGCAGCTTATCAGATGTGGTCAATAGGAGTCCACCTGACAGGATTCCATCTATGGAAGAGGATTTTCTTGTACAGCATGATGTCAGCTCACTCACTGTCAGCATCTTGCTGAAATGCTTCAACTGGTACCTCTGCTGAGTTATTGACATGCCAAGGAACATCCTGGTGGGATGTTCATAGACCTGGGAGTCTCAGTCGGCAGAGTGTGATGTGCCACACGGCCCAGCAGACAGTGGCACTGCAGACTATAGTCTATGCTTGTCCCCCATCTCCCCACTTTTGATGTGGCTCTCAGCTCTGCACGGCAAACAGTTGTGCACTCAGACACACCAAGGCTGAGCTCACTTTGGTTCTGCTGCTCCATCTATCCTGGATGTCCTGGGAGTCAGACTCTTTCCCAAAGGATATGGGGAGTGAGCCTGGGTGAGACTAGTGCTAAACTAGAGTTAACATGAATTCCTATTATGTTCCAGTCCCAGGATGAATGTTCTGGATCGTTCAGATTCTGACTTCTGCCTGTCATGTTTTAGATAAGGACATAAGGACTAAGATGTCAAGTAGAAATAGCCAAAGGCTGAAAAGCAGGAGAGTGGTGCAGCTAGGATTTGAAGGCTATGGGGCTCTGTACTATGCTGTGTCCATGTATACCAGAACCTGGTATGTACCAGCAATGTGCAAAGCCCTTTGAAGGGACAGTTCATGCAAACCTCACTAGCCCTGTGAGGTAGATCTTACTTTTTCCATCTTACAAATGGGAAGATATCAAGCATTTTTCTCAAAGACATTCATTCGGTCTATAAACACCATGATCAACTTTCTTCAGAAACTATTAGGTGACTTTTTTTTTTTTCTTGGAATCAGACCCCATATGGTTACCAGACATTTGGAGGTATACAACCCTGATGAATACTTTGAACGTTAAGCAATGGAAAGGATACTGAATGTAGGCTGTGGCTGTCCAGTGAGAAACTGCTACTGCCTCATGGTACCACCCATGATGCCCTTGGGCTACATGTGGCCTTTCTGACTGCACAGGCTCTTCCTCCAGAGTCTCCTGTCTATGTGCACGCAGGGTCCAGGCAGAAAGCAGCAGAGGGACCTATTGCAGTAGCTTCCCTGGACTACAGGATCAGCGCTCATCACGAATACACTTGCATGGCTAAACATGTTCTCATTCAGAACCTTCACTGCCCACATACAGACTTTTACACTATAACTTGAGAAAGAAAACAGAGGTTCCAAACCCCTCTGATGGTTCTAGTAGGGTCTAGTTCTCAAAATGTGAGATTTGGACCTCACATCCAGAATTTCTGATTTAGCTAGTTAGGGCTGGTGCCTAAGAATACAGATTTCTAACGTTTCCAGGGTGGCAGCTGCTGCCAGCCTAGAATCCATACTTGGAAAGCCACGGACAGAGGAAGCTCCACTTAAGCAAATACTGCTTCCCCCAGATGCATTCAGCAAGGGTCTGCATTTCCCTCTATCTCAACTGGGTTCCTGGTAACATGTTTGTTAGGGGTATAAATGGCTTGGTTGGTAAGGAAAAGACACAGCTATAATAGCATGACATGATACTGGGGCCATTATTTTTAATCTCACTAGTACAGAAAAAAAAATATTTCTGAGATAGTCTCATGTAGCCAAGATTGGCCTCAAACTCTCTTTGTAGCCAAGGATGACCATGAACTTGTGATCCTCCTACCTCAAAATCCTGAGTGCTAAGATTATTACGTGTGTATCACCACACATGATTTTTGTGGTATTGGGTATTGAACCCAGAGCCTCATGCATTCTAGCCAAGTACTCTAACAAATGAGCAATATTCAGTGCAAGAAATGTGTTTTATAAGTAGCAGGGTTAAATAGAGAATGACTTTGGTCATACTTCCTAAATACCCTTGTAATTAAGCAATATTTATAGCAATTAACACTAATTGACAATTTCCCCTTTCTATACTAGAAATGGAAGGAACTATTAAGCAAGAATAGGAAGTCTTAGGTTCCTAATAAGAGAACATGGTATAATGACAGATATATAAAAATGTCATAATGAAACCCATTACTCTGTATGCTAAATTAAAAAAAAAAACTGGTTGACGTTATAGCAAAGATAAAATAAAATAAAATAAAATAAAAAGAGTGGCTTGAAGAACCCAGCCCCAACTACTTGAGTATTATTTCTTAGATTTGAAAACAAGACAAAACTTTATTTCTTCCTTCATGAAAGGCTTTTGTCATTTTAATTTAGTAACAGATAAAGAATTTGAAAAAGATGAATGGGTTTGTATTTAATTGCTCCTCTGCCTATAAATATTTAATTTAAAGCATTTGGCTATGTTTAAAGATATTCAAGGCAGAAATGCCTGGTTAGGCTTCCACATTTATCATCTGGAGGGTTTAAGAAAATGCTTTCTTTTATCCAGGAGATCTGCCTTCAGGGACCTGTTCCGCCATTTCCAAGCACATAGGACATATGGACCGGTTAAGCTTTATCGTATCTCCCAGGTGCACCCATTCATTACAGGAAAGCTTCATTAAGGGAACATAAGGATTAATGGTCTCTTTATGGCAGCAAAACAGCTGAAGTCAAAGTACATCAGACGTGTATATCTATGGAGTTTAACATGATGAATGGATTCTAAGATAAAGACCTCTGACCATGAATGCTATTTAATACAAACCTTAAACGCCAGTGTAAACAGAGAGAGAGTGTCCAGAGCCGTGAGGCACACCTCAGTAGCAATGTTGGCTTCAAGGAGTGACTGGTGAAGGACATCTGCCTCCGAATGGCCATAGCCTGCATGAATCAACACAGGATTACTGTCCAGGGGTTCAGACAACAGGGCTGGTGGGGAGGGAGAATGACAGTCAACTTTTGATTATTTATAGAAGGCCCCTTTTCAGGGCCCACTCCCCCTTTGCCTCTCAGAGGAGGTGATATTAATAAAGTTTCCATTCAATGATGCATCTTTCCCAGCTCTGGGAGCTCCATGCCAGCAGCAGACATTTACTGTGTGCTTGCTACATGCCAGCTGTGAGTCTGGGACCTCCACACTTACTGTCTCAGCCACTCAGCAGCCCTGTGAAGTATAGACCTTATTAAACCCTTTTTACAGATAAGGAAAGAGACACAGAAAAGCTAACAAGCTTATCTCAAGTCATGAGGTAGTAAGACAGTAGAGCTTGGACTCCCACCAAAACAGGTTGCTGATGGTCAATTCAGCTACTTGACTGAGCTGTCACAATGTTGGGGAGCCGAGGGAGACTTCCTGAGAACCCCATGCAAAGAGGGGGAAAGGAGCCTCACATCAGGCTGGTCTCGGAGTCCAACTCCACCACTTACTATCAGTGTGGCTTTGGGCAAGTATCTGAGCTCTTTATCCTTCAGTGTCCTCATCTGTAGAACAGGGATAATAAGGGCATCTACTGCCAAAGGTTGTGGTGAGGACTAAATTTATTAACATCTATGAAGCTCTTAAAATAGCACCCAGTACAAAGTGAATGCTATAAAGTATTAAGTCAGTAACATCAAGGCTCTATATGATCAGTTAGAATCGTGAGTGATAATCAAGAGTTGACTGTACTGGGGGTAGTTTTTTACTCGTTTCAATAAAAAAGCACAAAAGCCAGTATATCTGAAAGAGATGTTTAAGATGAGGGAAAGGATGTGAAGGATCTGTCATGTAAGTTTAGCTTGATCATACATAGTTTAAACATAAACTGCCATCTCATGGTGGCTGTAAAATCAATTTAGCATAGATATAAATGCAGTTTGGCATATAAATTGAGATATTAAATTATGAAATGGTATGCATTAGCAGAAACACACGTAGGGTGTGGAAAGATGTTACAGTGCTGATCTAGCTTATATAGAAAGATGGTGATACAATGAAACATGATGTCTTTGTCCAAGGAGGGCCTGACAACAAACACTTATTAATTGGTCATTTCTTAATACCCCAAAGAGGAAGACATTAGTATACAGATAAGGAAAATGAAGCACAGAAAACCTAGACAATCTCCTGAAGACCAGTAATGGGAAAAACCCAAATCTATACTCCAAACTCCTACCCAGGTCACTGCATCAAAGGATTAGTACACAAGCTAAAAGGAGCAAAAAAAGAAACTATCACTGTATTGTTCTGACTTAAATAAATGTTAGAATTATAGAACAGTTCCTGCAAAGGCTACAGAGAGTTTTTTTTTGTTTTTCCCAACTGTCCTAGAACTCACTATGTAGTTAGTTCACAGAGATCCACCTGCCTCTGCCTCCCAAGTGCTGGGATTAAGGGCATGTAGTACCACATCCAATCACAGTAGAGCTTTTTAAAGTCACTGAGGTGCTTTGAAAATTCGATATGAGCACCATTATACATACTCATCCAACTTTGCTTTTACACAAGTGGCTCTTAGGTTTTATATCTGTGGATTATTCTGGCCCACAGAATAATTGTGAGGATACATAATACATTTGGTACCATGTTAGTTCTAGTCCTTTTTTGTTTGTTTGGTTTTGAATAAGAAATCTTCCAGATTAAAGGAAGGTAGATATTTGGGGGCACTAATCTGTTACTGCCTTTATATAAGCCAACACATTCCTTCAGTGCGTGGGGCTTGGTAATATACAGAGATAACAAAAAGGAAAACATGGATTAGTGATTACTATTAAAGAGATCGTAAACCATGGACAGAGAGGATGAAAACCAAAAAAGCCAACAGTTGTGATTAGACCAGCCAAAAATATTCACACAGGTCAAAGGGACTTTTAAGAGGCTGCTGTTTACTTTAAGTGAGTTATAAACTGGGTGAATTTTTAAAAGGAATTCTGTTTGGTGATTATTTTATTTTTTTCTCTGCATAGAACTGCCTTTTTTAGAAAACATACTGGCTGAGTGTGTCCAGGAACCATTATAACTGAGGCAGCCTATTTACTGAGCAAGCCCCACAGAGTTGACCTACTCCTGGTTGGAAGCCTGGGAACAGTTAGAGAGTCAAAATTTAGCAGTGTGTTGTTTTAAAAACATGCAGCCAATGTGCTAGGCTAATTAAGGGATATGATGATCTCCTCATGTAAAGAGCTACGGCAATGGCAAACTTTTGTAAGCTATCACACAGCCATGAGAGCATCTTACACAATCTCTAGGGACCAGTGAGAGGTGAAAGTGGGAGGGGAGGGATGGAGAAGGGGACCTGGGGTGGGTGTGAATATGAAGAGTATGATATCCTATGTGAAATGTCATAGCAAAACCCATTGTTCTGTGCACTAACTAAAAATTAATTTCAAGGTCACAAAATTAAATAAGAGCTAAAGAAAAAAGAAAGCAGATTTATGCAGCAGTCTGACTTTGTGAGTTATATTGAAATCTAAAAGACATGATCATTTTAGCCACATATTGTCATACTGTTTCTTAATTGTTCTAGTTTTAAAAAAAATCAGCAGAATGCTTAAACTATTGTTCATTAAAAAAAAACCATAAAGGAAATGGCAGCTCAGACTGTCCTCAGTCACAGTAAACTGAGATAACACATCCCCAGGCTTAGACAGGCTGTGCATGAAGACTTTCATCAAGTCACCATGCTAAAGAACAACACAGAAAAGGGAAATGATCAGCAGATCCAGCAAAATAGACTTTGGTCCATCTCAGGTCTATCTCAGGTGTTGCTTCTCAAGGTGCCATCCATTTTCTTTTTGTTTGCTTGCTTTGAGTAAGGGTCTCACAGTGGCCTGGGGCTCACCAAAGTAGGCTAGGCTGGCTAGTCAGCAGGCCCAAGGGATCAACCTGTCTCTGCCTCCCCAGTGCAAGGATTACAAATGTGCTACCGCCACAACACCTGCCTTTATTTTCAATATGGGTTCTGGGGATCAAATTCAGGTCCTCATGTTTGTTCAAGCACTTGACTGAGCTGTCTCCCCAGCTCAAGTCTCAGCAACTGAAGGCAGAGTGTGGTGTAAATTATACTACCTCCACTAGGGGGCAGTAGTACCTTGCAGCACTGTGTGGATTCCCTCTACCCTTGCTAGGCAGGGACAGAGGAGCAGGACTCCTGATGTCTTAGGGAGGTACACTGGGAGCTGCTTTGCGAGTCCCAAGCACTCGCAGTTCAAATTTACACAATTTTCATTCTACTTTCATTCCTACAATAAGACTGGCTTGTCTTTTAGTTTTAAAAATGTGTGTGTGGGGGTATAGCTAGGTGTATACACACATATGTATGTGCGAGTGCACTTGCCCATGTATGCATTTGAGTAGGGCAAGGGCAAATGTCAAGTATCTTCCTCTATTGCTTTCCACTTAATCTTTAAAGATTAAAGTTACATTTATTTATTAAGAGTGTGTGTGTGTGTGTGTGTGTGTGTGTGTGTGTATACATTTTTGCAGGTTTAGAGGATCACTTGCGGGAGTTTTCTCTTTCTACCATGTGGAAGCTAAGGCTCAAAGTCAGGTTGTAAGACATGGCAGCCTTTAGTGGCTGAGCCATCTTGCCTGCCCCTCTTCATCTTTTTTGAGACAGGGTCTCTTGCTGAGCCTGGGGCTTGCTGTTTTGGCTACACTAGCCAGTCATTAAACAACTGCCGTTTTCCCCCACCCCCACCAATCTACCTGCACTGGGGTTACAGATGCACACCAACTTTTACATGGATGTTGGGGATCTGAACTCAGGTCCTTATGCTTGTGCAGCAAATACTTTACCAATGGAGCCATCCCCCCAGCCCCAAGACTTGTTTTAAAATTTTCAAATATTTTCAGTACTCAGGGCCAAAAATGAGGACCCTCCCCCATGTTATCTGTTATGTTTGGGTGTAATTAACCTTATTGTATTTTATAAATCCGTCTGGCCTGAATCACTCACCTAACAGTTCTGACTGCACCTTCCTCCTAGAATGTAATATCAGAAGTGATGTGGTGGGGAGGGCAGGAGCCAGTCCACAGCCACACATCTTTTCTGAAGGTCAGGACATTTGAGATGAAAAAGTTTGTTAGACCTATAGTCTGAGAGAATGATAGCTGCCTTTCCTTTGAAAAATTACAATCTTCATGCTTATTTTTACTCCCCTCTCCCCAAATCATACTATGAATCCAGCAAAGCAATAAGATACAATACAAATACTGAACAACAAGGCATCTTCTTGTGAAAGAATTCCCCAAATGGAGATTTCCTCTCTTAGCTATATCAACTAATGGTGTATGGCTTTACTAAGTGTAAATACATATTATGCAAAATATCAAAATGATCAGCAGTCGATTATTCATTCCCCTTTCATTCAGGTCAGGTGTGGAGACATCTGCCTTTAGTCCCAGCACTTGGGAGGTAGAGGCTGGTGGATCTCTGTGAGAACTGTGGTCAAACTGGTCTACATAGTGAGTTCCAGGCCAGGTGGGGCTACAGAGAGATGCTGTCTCAAACAAACAAGCAAACCAAGTTTTTCCTTACAGATGGGCAAGGAGTAGAGAAAAAGGAATAATATTCTATGGCAAATTGAAATGATTGTTATCTTCCCCTGATTCACATATGAAGAAAACAAACATGTTCAGAATTATCAGTGGCCATAATCCACAATGTAGCCATTGGCTTTCTCTTCCCAGAGGAATACTGCATTTACCTGTATCTAAAAATGGTACTTAGTGACAGACACAGGTCCCAAACTGTGAAAAGACATGACACTGTTTAAGCAGGAACCCTACCTAACATTCTTAATTCTGAGATCCAATCAGTTACAATAAACATTAATTACTGACAGACCACCACATTAGATGAACTATATACATCCTGATTTCAGAAATGCCAGCAGAATGGCTAGTCTCACATCCTCCTCTCCTTGAGTGTGAGGGATGGCCACTGTTCCTTGTGGGCCTCTTCTGCCCCCTGCTGGTCAAGATGAGGTTTGACAAAAGGGAAGAAATGATGATGCAGAAGTATACTCTTCCTAGTTTTAATCTTCTATGAAATAAGTTCACTTTGGACTCGGGGTATCCCTGGCAGGTTGCTCACACATTGGATATATGTCATATTGGTTGGAGTAACAGAAAGTGTTGTGTTTACTGCTACATAAGACCTTTCTTCAAAGAGACATATATGGCCCAAGTTTCCCATAGAATCATAGAATACTTAGCTACAGAGATGAACAGGTATTCATATGTGTATATATATGCATATATGCACACATACATATAGATAATTATGTACAGATATATTGTCCTTGAACTTTTTTTGGCTAAGTTCCACATGGAGCTCAAGCCACCTAATTAGAATTAGAGCTAGAGAGAAAGACCAAGTTCTGGAAGATATGAGTAGGAAGCATGAGAACCAACGAGGAGGAAGTATAGAGACATGGGACAAGGTAAAGCAGGAAAACAGTGTGACTGAGAACGGCATACTACTAAAAGAAGGGAGGGAGGGGTGGAAGGGGGGGGCTGGGCCTAGAAGACCAGCTTCTCTGAGAACAGAAATCACCATTTCCTAACTTGGCTTTGGCAGCATTCAGTGGCCAGCTGTCTCTGGCCACCAGCTCCCAGCCTCTGCCACAGCATCCATTTGCAGGAGGCAGAGCTTCTGCATCCTGGACAGGATTACAGGGGTTGTATGTGTTAATAATTTGTTTTATTTTATTTTATTTGTTTACTGCATTTCCTAAATGACTATCCCTAGAGGCAGGGCCTTGGGTTTCTTTCTTTCTTTCTTTTTTTAATGCCTCAAAGTTTATACATTTATTTCAACAGATAGTGAATTACTCTTTGTTAAATAAATTATTTGGGCAAAGCCAATCCTGCAGTCCAGCATATCCCTAGGGACTGATTTTCTGCTGCTAAACAGGAAATGAAAATTAAAAATAACAAAATGTCTGGCTTTCTTTGCCTTAACCCCTTGTCCGTAGAACTAGCAAAAACTTTAAAAGTTGAAAAGTCAGGTACTCAGCGTGTCAATAAATGTGCATTCTACTGCTGAGTGTGGAGCTTAGAACTAGCAAATGAAGATTATCAATTCAGTGTGTGGCAGACTGACACAGTATTGATTTACATTAAGCCTAGAACCGTATGGAGAGACTGTTCCCATTATGGTTAATTTAGCTGGTCAGAATATGGGAAGTTGCTGCATTTCTATCCCTCAAGTTGCCTTTCTTGGAAGTAGTATTAATACACGGTGATGGGAATATTATCTTTACTAGTAATCTGCATTAAGAAAACAGTATGATGGCCAGGCATGGCGTAACATGCCTTTAATCCCAGGGTTTGGGAGGTAGAGGCAGGAAGATCTCTGTGAGACCAGGCCAGCCTGGTGTACATAACAAGTTCCAGGTCAGCCAGGGCTACATAGCGAGACCGTGTCTCACAAAATAAAAATTTAAAAAAATTTTAAAAAGCATGAAAATCATAGAATGAAATTCTTACATTAGAAATGATAGAAAGGTATTAATAATCATGTATTAAATACAGTGCTTGGAATGAGGCAAGCAGTTTTCTAACTAAGACAGTAACTAGCTACACCACGCTTGGAGGGAAAGACGGAATGATTTGGAGAAAGTAAGTCAAAGTGGAGGTTACTAAAGAGAGCCATATAATTTTTCTTGAGCTGCATGGCTGATATGTTTTAGGTTTTCTGCTTTGAGAAACGCTTGTATAGATGATGTCTAGAAACAGCAACACGGAGCCTTAAACCCTCGGGTGACTGATAAAAGGAAGTGAAAAAGATGGTCCCCCACACTGGAAGATTTCTACTGTGAGGTTAGGAAAGCCCTAAAGTTAGGAAGGCAAGATGAACAAAGGGTGTTGGTTTGCGAGTGAAGCAGTGACTCCAACCTGATTAAATCTTACCATTGTCTACAGAAATTCCAAGCACACTTGATATCTTTCTCACACTGAAAACACAGAAAAAGTCACTTTATTATTGGATGCTTTTCCATACCCTCACAAATCGATTCATGGGCTTTATGCTTTCACAGCAGTGAAAGGATTAATATTCATTTGCAGCTGGGATGTCAGAATGTGGTGCTTGATCAATTACATACATGCATCGGGAGAGGTAAAAGGAATCGGACCCAAGTGTGCTCGGGAGATTCAGGGGGAAAACAAATCACTGAGAAATTGGCCACAGGCAACAAGTCCAAGCATTAAATTTAAAATACAGACAACGTTTGGCCATGGAACCTGTTTAATTTTTGTTTGGGGTTGGGGCAAATGATCTGGTGCTTTTAGGATGGGTGCTGTAGTTGACTGGGCTCCACATTCTGTCACTCCACACTGCTCAGGACTCTGGTCCTCCAACTCTCCATTCGACTTGCTTTGTGCTGGAAGAAAAATTAAGTTGGTGACGTGGTATGGTGTCCCAGGGCTCTCCCCTCTGAGATGGTACAGAGATGGCACAGAGATGGCTGGCTGTTACGATGGTATGTCATGTGACTTACTGTGGTTAAAAGTGACAGAGTTATCCAGGCTGCCCAGCTGCTGCAATCTGGCATGCATCATTCCTGTTCTGTTACGGGAAACAGGCAATGTCTGAGACTTTCGATCATGAACTATGGGTCCCAACCCCTCCTGGTTCCTGCAACATGAGTGAAATGGGATAGGAGCAAAAGTTAGACGTGTTATACCGCGGCGACACGGGAGCGTTAGTGAAGCCAGAACATGGCATAGGGGGAGTCAGGCTAACGCAGCCTAGCAGCCAGGGACACAAAGAGACGCTAACTCTTACAGTTCACGGCAAAGCACCTGGTGACAAGGAAGCCAAAATCAAGCCAAAGTAGAGGCTTTTCCACTCTGAGAAAGCACCCTGAAGGTGTGACTTTTAAAACAGTGTCACTCCAATGTGGTGCTAAAGATTGGCGTTCTGACAACTAACAAAACACCATGAGCCTTTCTGAAATTATACATGAGTGAGCAAAGAGATACTATCCTAATTTTTAAAAATGCATTGAAAGAAGCAGAGAACAGGCATGCAATGGCAGGGGTTCAATGAGGCACTGGAACACCTCTATTCTTACCCAAGCAGGAAGAAGAGCCACACACTTTGTTAAACTTGTCAGCAGTCAAGTAGAGAAAACAGAAAAGTGATCTGGGTTAGCAGGCAAACAGCTCACTTCCCTAGTGTGTACCATCACCAGAGCAGATGGAACAGGAGATCAGTGCTGGAGTGACACCTTTCTCCCATCCTGGAGCCCACCATGCCCCTCACTGTTATGGTGTATAGAAGAACAGGGGCATGCATGGACTATCATGGACAGCATGCTGCTGGGTGATTTCCAAGTGACAAGAAGGCACAGTGTTCACATAACCAAACCGCTGTGGATGGCAAACACTGACAATGTTCACGTCATGGTTTAAGATCTTTGTCACATGCAGAAGGGACCATGGCAACTTTCATATTGAGCAGGGTGTATCTTTTCACAGCCCAAGGTACAAAATAAGACCAGCTCCACTCCCATCTTTCCCACCCATCTGTTCTTAAAGTAGTCCATGTTATATGCAAATATATACATGGGCTTATACATTGGCAAGTTCTCTTTCAAAATTGATATTTACTGGGAGGATAAGGGAGAGAGCCACTTTACAAACCTAATTCTAAAATATTTTGTCAGGGAAGAAATCATCAACTTCCCATATTCACCATTTTACGTTCCTGAGGCATTTTATCTCACTAGGCCAAACATGGTCCAAATGCCTTCTTGTATGTAAGGTAAGTGTCAATAATCACAAAGATGGTGTGTCGGTAGCCCAGCACAGAGTTTTTTGGTTATCACATACACTAATGCCCGTCTTCATGGGGCGACCAGAGAGAATAAATGTCAAGACACATTACTAGGATGAAGGCACCTTGTATATAGTTGCATGTGGGACTCAAAACCAAACATAAAATGTACTGTAGTGATAAAAATAAAAGTTAAGATTAGAAAACTTTAAAAAATACCACCTTTTAATTAAAACAGAAAATATTAATAACAGGAAAGCGCAAAAAAAACCCTCACTATATTTGCTTTTTTTTTAAAAAAAAAGAGAATATGTGCTCTCATTTCTTAACATAAAATATATTTCTAAAATTTCTCAAATATCCCCAGAAAGCACAATGCTAACATAAAAGCAAATAATCACATTAAAATATGAAGCATGTTAATCTCTGTTCTAATTCACTTCTATAAAATAGAATTATAGGAAAGAGAAACAAACCTCAATTACAATTAAACTTTCAACTTTCTTAAAACATACGTATACATTTACTTAGAATTAAACTGTTAAAAGCAATACAAGACAATGATGCTTAGGCTGAGTCCCCACACATATATAGACATGGACACAACACACTGGCTGGCTATAGGGCAGGAGTAAGAACCTGGTAATGGACAACATGTGCTGGGAGGAAATGCCCCCAGAAAAGGAGCTGTCTGGCCACAGGAGCCTCTAGCTCTCCTGGGACCAAAGTGTGGCCCAGAACAAACAGGTCAGTGGGGAGTTAGAATACTCAAGAACACAGTCTGCTTACTGATGGGACAGTGTAAGAGGAGAAAGGGCTCCATTTTAGAGGTCTGTGGAAGTCCACAGAAATTTGAGATAGGATAAAAACATTCTTTTAATTAAGAAAGAAGAGTGGTTAGGTGAGAACTTAAGCCTCTTTGTAGTTGGGAGCAGGGACAGTAAAACAGATAAGAAGAAAATATATGAAAAGGAAGTCAGGAGAAGAGAAGGAGAAAGAGTCAGAGGAGAGAGTGTGAGAATTTGGAAGAGAATCCGGAAGGAAGTTAGCAACAGGCCCCTAAAGACAATCCTAAGAGAGGAGTGTGAGACAAAACAAGATAGAAGGAATGTAGAAATGCTGACACAAGACACTACCAGACTCCATGGTGGCCACCCGAGGCCTGCCAACTGTCTGTGTGGCTACTTCTGTGAATCCCACCTGCCAATTACCGCAGATGACCATTCCCACACATTCAGATTCAAGTCACACAGAAAATGATATGACATTTCACACTAGGATGCCCCACAGTACCTGGCTATGTAGCGCTTCCCCATATACTGGAACTGGTGCAAGCAGACTCTGCAAACAAAACATCATTAGAGACTGCAAAGACAAAACTGTTCTCAATACACTGCTTTCAGCCATTGACAATAACTTCTACAAACACACTGACTGCTACCCCTCACTTTTGCCTTGTGGGAATTTTCTGGATGGTTTCTCTCCACACAACCAAAAGTATTAACCTGTCAGGGAAGCCCCCCAGTGTGCCACCTTCAGAACTGGGATAGCAAGGGCAACACCAGAAGGGCAACAAAAGTCTTTGTTCATCCACTCAGGGCTGGCAGACTCAGTCCAAGGCAGCCTGCCTTAGAAGATGCTGGAGACCTTCCATGCCGCTATGTGTTGCTCCCTCCTCCTCATTCAAGTCTATCACAGGAGCTCTCATTTGGCTCAAGTATAGATAGCAAGTATAAAGTTTTCTGTTCTGTTTTATTTGTTAATTTATTTTTATTTTATGTGTATGAGTGTTTTGTCTCCATGTATGTAAGTGCACCATGTGCATGCAATGCCCACAGAGGCTGGAGGAAGACGTTGGATCCCCTGGAACTGGAGTTATGGGTGGTTGTTAGCCACCATGTGAGTGCTGGGAACCGAACTTCTGCAAGAGCAGCCAGTGCTCTTAATCACTGGGCCATCTCTCTAGCCCCTATTTTGTCCTAAAACTAGTTTTTAGAGAACCATGCATCTAATAAAATGTAGCTAACATTATGTGTTCTCTGGTAGCCAGTCTTGGCTGACCACATGCTAACTTCCTCATTAAAAGAGTGGTCATGAGACTGAACCACATTCTTGCAGGAGGATCAGGTCCTTCCCGCTCATAGCTTCAAGATGGGAAAAGCTTGGAAAACTAGGTTTCCACTTGAGTTTCCTCAAATACATCTGCCACCAAGCTATCAGACATAAACCTACTAAGAGTCACGATTTTCTCAAATATGAACAGTAATAGAACTATAGAATTTTTTTCACAGATAAAATAATGTGTTTGATTGAGGGGTGCTGTCTGAGATGCAGTTTTTAAAGGAAATTAAAAAAAAAACGCTCAAATTCTGAATTTGAAAAAATACTAGTCCTCAGCAGTTTTGGATAAGGTATTATGGATTTGTGTTTCTAAAAATGTAGAGCTTTAAAGAAATCAGAAACTTGTACTGAAGAGAGAAAATAATCACTAGATTTAGCTTAGAGAAGTGGTATCTACCTAATCAGTAAATAAGCTTTGTACTATTTTATTAAAATGGTGTCAGCACAGAAATACCTCATCTATAACAACCAACCGCAGTATTTTAAGGCTGACCACTGTTAACTGGATCAAGGAAGAGAGCATGCGCCACACACAACATTCCTGCCTCCAGCACACAGTCTTCTTGACACCCCCATCCGGGCAAAATCAAGAGTCAATGGGTAAATACAAAAACTACTCACTCCGATATTGTAAAGAAATCCATAAGTTCCGCTGTTGAAGCCTTGTTCCAGTATGTAAACAAAGCATCTAAAAATAAGCATTTATTTGGCAAGGATCACGATATGTATCACAAATATTATAGATAATGACCTACTATGACATTAGACTGTGGAGTATAGGCCACCACTACCAAATCACACTGACAGTCTAGTCTAACTTGGATAACACACACAGCAAGCTCATTCAACTTAAGAACATCTGAACACCCAAACTTTAATCATACATTACCTAGTGCCATATAGTACAAGGTCATTTAACTTATCCATAATGTGCTTCTAATTCAAAGGATACAGGAAAGTATATAATCTAAAGTCAGGCTCTCTCATTTTCTACCTTAGAATCCTTCCCTCCACTGCAGAGAATTTGTTGAAAATTTCTACATACTACATTTACTGTTTTGTCTCTGAGGTTATTATTTAGACCTATTTTATTTTTAAATTATGTATATGGGTCTGTGTAGGGGTATGTGAACAAGAGTGCAGGTGCCCACAGAGGCCAGAAGGCATTGGATCCCCTGGAGCTTGAGTTACAGGCAGTTAACCTGTCTTGTATTGATATTGATGAACATTTACTGCTTTTTTCTAACCTACTACTACAGTCATGCTTTGCAAAACATCCTGTCACATGGATTTTTGCATGCTCATCCAGCTACATCTACAGGACAGATTCCTGGAAGTGATACAGAATACCAAATGGGAGACTGCTGAACTCTCTGCATTCAACCCTTGCCAGTCTGGTATTGTACAAAGACCACTCTCATTTGAAACTTAAATATTCTTGCTTTCTTTCATATGAAGGTGAAAAACAGGTGAGGAGATTTCTTCCCAGAATATCCTTGTGTCTTTAGAGCCTGAGATGAGCAGAGAGATGAGTGGTTGTGGGCTTTTACTCTTCATTTCTCAAGGACAGTGAGAGGCAGAGAAGACATCGAATCAATGGCGAATCTGTCATATGCCAGGCACCATTCTTGATGCTGTCCCAATTCTGCAGATAGTGCCATCTAATCCACACTCTGATCCCACACAGGACAATTCTCATTTACAGATGTACCAACAGAGGCTCAGGAAAGCTAAGCATGTCTCCCATTTACCTGCCTAAAGAATCATGGTGAAAGGGAACTTAATCCAAGCAGACATGATTCTAAGAACCAACTTTGACTCTTGTGACTAGTAGTGAGGATGGGTCAAGAAGCTTCCATCTTGGAAGGTTCGGAGCTCAGAATCCAGATGGACAAACTCTGGTTAGTTGAGGCTGCTCATCCTAGGAAGGTGAGTCCTGAGGAGCCTCATGGTGGCCCCGCCAGCGCACACCGGGCAGATCAGCCAGCATAGCAGTATTATCACTGATTTGCCTTGCTCTGGATTCAGGCTTCTAGTTGGACTCTGAAGCTGTCTAAGAGGGAGGAGGCTCAAGGAAGCACAGAATGGAGGGTTCAGTGTGTAGATACTTCTTAAATGTGGAGTAAGTGAAAGGAAAGAGGAGCTACAGAGCTGTACAATCAATTGTGGTTGTCCATCTGCTAAACTGCCTCCAGGGGTTAATTTCTGTCTCCCCCTATACATCACACACAAAAATCAAGTCTAAGTGAGTTTTAGGTTTGAATACAAAAACTTTAAAAATATAGCCTTGAGGCTGGAAGTATGGCTGGGCGATTAGGGTTCAGTTCCCAGCACCCACATGGTGGCTAACAACCCTCCATAATTCTAGTTCCAGGGGATCTGGTACCCTCTTCTGGCCTCTGAGGATATTGTACTTATGTGGTACACTTACATACACGTAGGCAAAATACTCATACACATAAAATAAATGAATAAAAAAATTTAATATAGTTTTTCAAGAAAATATGAGAGCATATTTTAAAAATATTATTTGTGTGTGTGGTCATGTGCCTGTAGAAGCTAGAAAAGGGTGTTAGATCTCCTGGAGCTAGAGTTACAGGCACTGAGAGTGCTAGGACCTGAACTTCAGTCCTCTGCAAGGGCAACAAGTGTTCTTAACCACTAAGCCATCTCTCTTCTCCCTAGAATTATCTTTATGTCCTCAGAGATATATTTCTAAAATGGGATACGGGCATACAAAATTTAATCTTAAAGGGGAAAAAAATGGTAACTTGAAGGCAACATGGAAAAAATGCTATTTTATTTTTTAAATGTATTATCATCCTCCCTATCTATCTATCTATCTATCTGTCTGTCTGTCTGTCTATCTATCTATCTATCTATCTATCTATCTATCAATCAATCATGTATCATCTATTAATCTAAGTGTTATACCCGCATATATCTAAGTGCACCAGTGTCATGCAATGCCTGAGGAGAGCAGAAGAGGGTCTTAGATCCCCTGGAACTGGAGTTACGGACAATTGTTAGCAGTCATGTGGGTGATGGGATTCGAAGCTGGGTCTTCTGCAAGAGCAGCCAGTGCTCTTAACCACTGAGCTATCTCTCTAGCTACCCCCCCAATGCTATTTTAAAACTGTTTTGAAGTGGTGTTGATGGTTTCAAAATCCATGTATGATTTTCTGAAGAGTTTAAAGGATAACTTTCATCTGGACACGAAAGTATATATTGTCTTTAAAATGCAGTTATGCTCTAATTATATACCATATTCAGTAATGGAAATTTTAAAAAATTTTTAAAGAAAACCAAGGAAAAATAATATTATAATGTAGTTGAAACTCTTTGCCATGGAGCAAAATCTGACTTTTGATTTACATGGGACAAATTTCAACTTTACAATCCCAGTATGAAGAATAAACATTCGTGCTCTGGTCATTATTCAGGGAGAATCTTGCTTATCTTTAATTTTTTAAGTTGCTATTTTAAATTAATTTATGAACAAAATAGTAAAGTTGTCCAGTCCTTAAGTATTTCAGGGACAAGCAGGTCATCTCTACCGTCTGTGTAATGGAGTCTGACTGCTAAAATGTGGCTGAATGAAACTGAAAATCCAGCAAAAATCTAACGGACAAAACCCCAGCATTTTTCAGGAAGAAACACCTTTTTGTAAGATGTTAATAGCCTTGTCTACTATTACCAAATATACACAACACAGCAGCTTCACTGGTTCAGAGCAAATGACATGCTGCTGCAGAGGAGCTCATCTTACTCAGTGTCCATAAGGCTATTTGTTAGGTACCTTCTAATTCGCTGTAGGAAAATAACACCTCCCCCTACCAGGATAAGAATTATGATTTCATGGGATTAGCTACAGCATACCTCTATAGTTATACCTGCCCCGAATACACACTTACAAACTTTGTGATATAGATAAAACTTTAATAATTTTGCTCATCTCTATTAAAAATGTCTGTACTATTTAGTTTTAAAATGTCAACTTGCATGGGGCTGGAGAGATGGCTCAGCGGTTAAGAGCACTGGCAACTCTTTCAGAGGACCCAGGTTCAATTCTCAGCACTCACATGGTGGCTAACCATCTGTAACTCCAGTTCCAGGGGATTTGATGCCTTCTTCTGACCTCCACAGGCATTGCATAACATGGGTGCACCTCAATACAGGCAGGCAATACACTCATACACATAAAATAAAAATAATTAAAAAAATATATTTTTTTGTCTTTTTGGGACAGGGTCTCCCTGTAGCTCCAGCTGTCCTGGAACTCACTATATAGACCAGGCTGGCCTCAAACTCACAAAGATCCACCTGCCTCTGCCTCCCAATTGCTGGGATTAAAGGCGTGCACCACCACGCCCCGCCCCAAAATATATATTTTTAAAATGTCAACTTGCCACAAGCTAGAATCACCTGAGGAGGGAGTCTTAATTAAGGGATTTTCTAGATCAGGTTGCCCTCTGGAAATGTCTGTGCAGGATTGTCTTGATTGTTAACTCTGGTGGGAAGACCCGCCATGCATGTGGGCAGCACCATTTGATGGGCTGAGCACTAAGCTAGGTAAGAGTCAGGAAAGCCAGCTGAGGGAACAAGCAGGTGGGGTGAATACATTCGTTTCTCTGCTCTTAGCTGTGGATGTGATAGGACCAGCTGCTTGAGTTTCTGCCTTGACTTCCCTGAAATGATGGAATTGTAAGTCAAATGAACCCTTTCCTCTTTTATTGCTTTTGGTCAGGGTGTCTTATCACAGAAACAAAATGAAACTAGAACCAGGCCTTTGTTTCTCTTTATCAGAAACAAAATCTCCTAGGATACCATTATCTCCATCACAAGACTCAATCTGTATCTTTTCCTCCCAGTTAAAGCTAGAGATAGCATATGCACGTTCATTAATACAGCCCCAAATAATACTTTCCAATTTATGGGACTGATGAATAAAGTTATGCAAGTTGCCGGTTGAGTTTGTTTGGACAACAAATCAATCAATTATCAATCAATCAATCAAAGCTACTTTATTTATCTGCTTCTGACTTCTTCAGTTAAGATGGTAGGTCCAAGATTAATAATAAGCCCATTGTTAGGACTGAGGATGTGGCTCAGCTGGTAGAGTGCTTGCCTAGTACGCATGAATTCCTGAGTTTGATCCTCAGCACTGCATAAATTGTGAACTGGATGTGGCAGCCCATGCCTACAATCCCAGGACTCTGGAGGTAGAGGCAAGAAGATCAAAAGTTCAAGGTTACCCTCAGTTACATAGAGAATTTGAGTCCTGCCTAGGCTACATGAGATACTATCAAATAAAAAGGTCCATTCTGGGGCTGGAGAGAAGACTCAGCGGTTAAAAGCATTGGCTGCTCTTGCAGAGGACCTGGGTTCGATTCTCAACACCCACGTGGCGGCTAACAACCATCCTAACAGAAGAGGGGATCCAACGTCCTCTTCTGACCTCCATAGGCATTGTACAACATAGATGCACCTACATACATGCAGGCAATACACTCATACACATAAATAAAAATAATAAATAGAATATTTTTAAAAGACCCATTTCCATTTTAGAATTCATTTTCTAGATTATTTTTTCATATTAAAGCTTCAATTTCTACTGCATTTAGTATATTAACATGTATTTCAAACAAGAAAGCTTATTTTAACTATTTGAAATGATCAACTAATGCCACTTAAAAAATTAAACTAATGCCGGTTGTAGTGGCACATGCCTTTAATCCCAGCACTCAGGGAGGCAGAGGCAGGAGGATCTCTGTGAGTTCAAGGCCAGCCTGGTCTACATAGTGAGTTCCAGGCCAGCTAGGGCTACAGAGAGACCCTGTCTCAAAAAGATTTAAAAAAATTAAACTAGATATTGTGATAATATTAAATTAAAAAAAAAAACAGCTGTCATTTGTGCTGGATAGTTTTGTCAACTTGACAGACCTGGGTAGAAGGAATATCAATTGAGGAATTTCCTTCATTGGATTGGGCCTGTGGCCATGTCTGTGGGGCATTTTCCTAATTATTGAGTGATGTGGGAGGGCCCAGCCCACTGTGGGCAGTGCCACCCCTGGGCAGGTGGTCCTAGGTTATATAAGAAAGCAGGCTGAACACAAGGCAGAGGAGCAAACCAGTAAGCAGTGTTCCTCCATGGTCTGTGCTCATTCCTGCCTTCAGGTTTTTGCTCTGAGTTCCTGCCTCAGCCTTCTCTTGAAGATGGACTGGGAGCTGCAAGACAAACTCTTTCCTTCTCAAACTGTTTTTGGTTAGTGTTTTACCACAGCAATAGGAAGTAACTAGGACATCAGACCCACCATCAGACATGCTCTTCAAGATGTAAAGGAAACACATTAGCAGGCTCTTAATCTCAGACTGGTCCAGTTTGTCACAGCGAACCACAGAATTTCCCAGAGTGCCACTCTGTTGATGCTGAAAAGGAAATATGAGTAATTTTTCTATTTCACAATTCACACATCTCCTTTAGGAGAGAAAGTGTCTTTAGCTTTGGGTCAACTCTTAAAAATAGCAAAGAACAAGTAAACCACAGGCACAAGTCACCCTTCACCCAAGTAGAGCACACACAAGCACTGCTTCTCAGAGCTGACAGTCTCCTTCGTACCTTTCCTGAGGGACAAGCCAGAAAGCACAAACCTTTCACACTGGAAGACCTCAGCTGAAGTTATGCCAAGTAAAAAATCTTCTGAAATGCCAAGTAAAAATGTCATGCAAAAAAGTGTGTGTGCTAGGATCCAACATAGAAGATAAGACCCTGAAGACATCACACAGGTGCCCATCTCCTCAGAACAGCAGCGTCTGCAACGGCCAGAAGGGTCTGAGATGCTGCTGCGCAGTAGCCCTGGAAGCCTGCAGCTCAGGCACTGTCAATCAGGGCACATCGTGGGATGCACTGTGGGTACTGACTGAGAAACACCTGACAGATGCACAACAGGATACACAGTGAGGTGTCAGCACAGCACTGCTGAAGACCATAAACCAATGAAGTCACTCTATCATCAGCTTAGTTCAACACTGCAAACCTCAGAAAGCGCAGGGCTGAGGACAAGGGCAGTTTTACCACTAGGCAGAAGCAGGTTCTCATTAAAAAACAAAAAAAAAATATGAGTAAGAATCTCAGCTCCTGGTTAGTAACACAGGAGATTAAAAAAAAAAAAAGAGTCCTCCAAATTTTATTTCCAATTGAAACAAAGAATATTTTTTTTTGCCAAATACCAAATGAAAAAATAAAAAAGTGAAAGAAGATATTTCTTTCAAAGTATTGATGGCCAGTTGAAAAAATATATACAATGAGAAGATTTAATTAATAAGAAATGTATTTTTATTTAAGGAAGAATCTACGTGCCATTAGTGGCAAAACTGGCGTGGATGCATTATCAAGCCCTCCACTGAATCAAGAGCTGCCAACAGATTGCAGTACTTCCTGCAGGGGGAAGAAGGGTGTGGCATGCAAAGTTTCCTCTGGCAAAGATGGAATTGTTAGAAGGGAAAAATCCATGGTGATCCGGTTTTTCCTGGCTGACTGGCAGCTCTCCTCCTCCTCTCCAGGACTGCGAACGACACAAGCCGAGTGCCTGCGGAGCAGCTTTTCCCTCTACACATGAAGGCATGTTGGGGTCAAGGGGAAAATTCATCACGTAAGGACAGATCCATGCTGAGATGTCCACAGCTCAACGTAAGTGCACCTAAGGTAATCACACTGATGCCATTCACAGAATCTGTGACAAGGTTATAAGCTTGACGCTGATACTTGAGGAACGGTGTTCTAGGAACTAGGAATATATTTCTAAATGGTTTACCTGCTTATTAACAGAAAGCTTTCCTGTAACTTGAAGTAACTTAGGAAGACAGGGCCCAGGTAATACCAGGCTACAGGGTTCCAGGTTAACGCTAACCTTTATCCTTCTCCATAAAGTTCAGAATAGGCTGAGGTTTCAGTCATTTAAAGAGAAAAGGCTAAATAGGAGGAAGTTGTGTTAGGGGTGGGCACAGTGTAAACATTGATTCAGCTACACCTTGGGCCTGCATCACCAATAGGATCAATTCATCTGTTCTGGAAGTGGCCTTTGACCTAGAATGCAAACAGACAACCTGATGCAGAATCATTTTTCCCATTGTAAATAGTGCTTTTATTTGAGACCTTGGAAAGACGAATCTATTTCAGGGGGCTCCAGGCATATGTAGCTACACAGGAGAGCACTTGCCTGATGTGCAGAAGGCTCTGATTTTAAAAAATATTTTATTTATTATTTTTATTTCATGTATATGAGTGTATTGCCTGCATGTAGGTAAGTGCACCCGTGTTGTGCAATGCCTGCAGAGGACAGAAGAGACCATCAGATCCCCTGGAACTGGAGTTACAAACAGTTGTTAGCTGCCATGTGGGTGCTGGGATTCGAACCTGGGTCTTCTGCAAGAACAACCAGTGTTCTTAACTGCTGAGCCATCTCTCCAGCCCCAGAAGGCTCTGATTTTTTAATTACAGCACCATACCAAAACAATAACAACGACAACAGAATTTCAGGGGATTGGCCCAAATCTTACATAAAGCTCTGGTCATCTACTGCACATAAACTAAGTTGCTTTAAAAAACAAACTTAAAAGGTCACATCAACAAACAGTAGAACATGAACCAGGTTTTCTTTGAGCTATATCCGTTAGCTATCAGAAACAGTGTGCTTTGTGACAAGAAATCACCTTATCCAGGGAATTGCTCTTCTCACTGTTCCTTTCTGGAAGGCTGTTCCCCGAGTCTGTGCTTATTAGAGAGCCTCTTGAGTCAGCATTTCTCACGCTGTTGATGTTGGGGGTTGACGTTGTATATGGAGAAGCTGAATGGATATCAAAGCAAGACCAATGGTTTGGTAAGACAGCAAAATAAAGCACTAAATTTAGGAGAAATTGCTTTTGTGGCCCTTATTTTTCTGTAAGGACATGCTTGAGAGTTATATTCAATGACTTCACCTTTGAAGAACCAAGTGAATACAGGTGAATTCTGAGAGTGAAAAAAACTTTCATCTGAAACATTCAGAATAAGTGTTAAATCACTGAATGGAAATCACTTTTGTTTGCTCAGACTGTAGTAGCATGCACTGTTTCATAACAGGATAGAAAAAGAAAAAAAAAGAGATAAATCCATTTAAAACATGCATCAAAAAATAAAATAAACCACACTGCAAACCCCTAACTTGCAAACTGTATGCTAAGCTGCCCTAGAAAATTCCCAGTAAATGTGACAGTCCATTTAAAAATTTCAGTGACACACCATGACAGCTGACCTTGGCTGTAAGTGCATTTCAACACTGGACCATGCTACACTCTTTCTGATGATGTCATATCTTCCTGCAGCTGGCACTAAGCAGTTGCTATGATAAAAGCAAGTTCTGGACAAAAATCAGTGTGGAACAGGAAGTAAAGGTGGTGGACAATATGATTCCAAAGTATGAAAAATTGAGTAGCCAGCAAACATGCACAAGTCATTAGTAATACAGCCTGTAGGTATTTAAAATGAAATGAAAGCATTTTTCTTTATATGCATGTGTGCTACTTTTAAAGTATTTATTATTTTTATGAGTGTATTGCTTGCATATATATGTGTAAGACTCATGTCATACAATACCTGAGGAGGTCAGAAGATGGTGTCGGATTCCCCTAGAGCTGGAGTTATGGATGATTGTTAGCTGCTATGTGGGTGCTGCTCTTAACCATTGAGTCATCTCTCCAGTCCCCATATGTAATATTTTTGAAAGGGCTACTAAGTTGTTGGGAAATACATATTAAGTCATAGTTTATTATTGAACATAACTGTTAAAAGACAAGCAAAGTCTACTAAAGAAAACTATTGGTTTGGGCCTAGCAACACAATGAAAAAATTATTGTGATGGTAAGGTCCATTCTTAATATATAAAATGAAATATTTGGGAATCTTTTTGTAAACAGAGGAAGAAAGGAAATCTCACTTGGAAATGAAATTTTGATATGTATGAAAAAACAGTATTTGAAAGTAGAAAACAGCTTCCACTTTGGTACTATGGAGATTTTCTTAAGGGAATGGGTTGACTTCCTGCTTAGATAAGATTTAAATAAATTACATGATACAAATGACTCTTGTGGACTTGGCATTCTGTGCTGAACCAACAGGCATTCAGCAGAAAGGCCAGGTTTTGCATATGGTGTGAGGAAATTGTTGGCACTGAACTCTGCAGCTGTGTGAGTACAGCCTCCCAGACCCAAGCCAAAGACACCGTTACTGCAACTCACAACAGGCCATTTTCTGACTGCAGTAGGAAAATCACCTTACACAGATAATTCTGGGATGGATGGATGGATGGATGGATGGATGGATGGATGGATGGGTGATTGAATGGATGGATGGGTGACTGGATGGATGGATGGGTGATTGGGTGGGTGGATGGATGGATGGATGATTAGATGGATGGATGGATGGATGGATGGGTGACTGGATGGATGGGTGATTGGGTGGATGGATGGATGGATGGATGGATGGATGGGTGACTGGATGGATGGATGGGTGATTGGGTGGGTGGATGGATGGATGGATGGATGATTAGATGGATGGATGGATGGATGGATGGATGGGTGACTGGATGGATGGGTGATTGGGTGGATGGATGGATGGATAAATGGATGGATGGATGGATGGATGGATGGGTGATTGGATGGATGGATGGATGGATGGGTGGATAGGTTTTTGGATGGATGGATTGATGGGTGAGTGGATAGAGGAATAAAGCAAGCCATCCTTGGAGTCACACTAATTATTTCTATAAGTCTCTCAGCTGTCATCATGCTTTTAAATTTCATGGCTAATGTCTCAAGTTCATCATTTTTCAGTCACCTCTCTCCTTAGCATTTACTCTAAAGCTACATGGAAGTCTACATGTCCCCAGGACAAAAACTGCAAGAATGTCCCAGGAACAGGTGAAAACCTTATGAAAAACTTTCTTTTCCTGACAGAAAGAAAAGAAATGCACACTATGAGCAAATTAAAATTCTCCTAAAATAATTGTGCTCCATAGTTAAGGTAGAACATGAAACTCAGGAGAAAGGGGTCCTCCTCAAGAAAGCAACAGGAGACCCAACATTCTGGATTTTCAAATCTGGTTCCAAACCGCAGTCCTAATTTAAGGCAAATACAGTAAGTTGAAATCAACATGCTTAGTTTGTCTCCAGAATGTGTGTGTTGTGTGTGTGTGTGTGCGTGTGTGTATGTATGTGTGTGTGCGCGTGTGTGTGTGTGTGTGTGTGTGTGTGTGTGTGCATGCATGTTTAGTATCTTGGCCTGGGGAATGACTTTATTTTTTAAACATTCCAATTCTTATTTTTAAACTATTTTTTATTACTATATATTCTTTGTATAAAGTGATGGGTTCATAATGACATTTTCACAGAGAATGACTCTTAAAGACCCTAAGTAACATGTGAGTAGCATATAAAGTTTGGCTTATCCCTCCTCCCTTTGTACCAATAGCCTGATACACCAAGCAGGTGGGCAAAGGGATTCTGAGCCTTAGACTCTCAGAGTAGTTTTAATCCAGGCTACTGGTTTTAGGAGTTCTCGTCACCATACTCCAAAAGCATTTGAGGAACTGGGGAGGAGTGTTCTAGGAGGGCTTCTTGAAGCTTGCTCCTGAAGGATCCACACCAGGACTAAAGTGAACTGGAGGCTTCTGATGAGTAAGAGTTGCTATAGCTCCAGAAAGCAAAACAAAACAAAAACCTAGAACCCAGTTCCAAGGTGGGGTTTCTGGAAGGCACTCCTAAAAGGGAGCTAGGATTTAGTCTGCCAGATGGGAGGAATACAGACAAAAGGTCAAGGTTAAATAAGCCTGCTGTGGTCAGTTCTGTAAAATGTGGATTTGGATCTTGAAATTCAATAAAGAATGAAAATAACCAGATCAGTCATAAGTCTCTTTCACAATTGCACTATGGATGTTCAGCAACCCCACATTCATCTTTCATTGGGTCATGATATGGATATCTTAAAGGCTCCTTTCTAAATTCCCAAGGACTCTCAAATCCTGACACAGTGAATTCTGAATTGGAGAGTATTAAGTAAGTCAAAACATTCCCCATGGTGGTTTGATCATTTCTACAAAGCCCTGCATGTTTCTCTTCAGATGCTATCGAGTACTGGTATCGAGCACTATACATATTGCATTGGTTCTTGATTCCTGACAACGGCAGTTTAGAGATGAGGATATGGAGGATGCAGGGGGTAGACACACTGCCATGGCAACCAGGCAGTGGTAGAGTCCAGACAGACCCAAAGCCACACCTGTCTGAGCTAAGCCAGTGCCCGAACCACTACAGAAAAACCCTCTGAAGAAGGTCACCTTCCAAGTTCCACAACAGTGGCTTGGCATGTGGGCAGGGCAGGATGGAGACAGGAGTGAAGGCCTCGGAGGAGAGGCAAGTAGAAACTTGCCACGGAGCCAGTATTTGCTGAGTGTTTACTGTATGGTATGCCAGATTCTGCTTCCAGAATTTCCTGTGAACTAACTCTTTAATCTTCATTTATTTGATTTTTGGTCTTTTTGAGACAGGGTCTCCTTGTAGCCACAGCTGACCTGGAGCTTGCTATTGTAGACCAGGCTGGCCTAGATCTCACTGAGATCCACCTGACTCACAGAGATCCTCCAGAGTTCTTGGATTAAAGGTGTGTGGCACCATATAACTATAAATAAGCTTGAGGATATAGGATAAATGAGCATTCATGTGGGCTTTCCAACAGTACGTTCTACCTCACTTCATCACCTTCTACGTAAGATGGAAAATCAACAACAGAGTAGAACACAGACTTAGAATGCATGTGTTAGTCCTGTGAATTCATGGGATAAAAGGCATGTTACTTTTCCTGGCCCCATGAATTTGTACCATCGATAAGTAGTGTAAGCACCAGCCACAGTAGGATTCTTCACTTGTTTAGAGTGTGGTTAGTGTACAGAAGTACACTGTGAACAGCTATTAAAATCCTTTGACTATATGTGTGTATACATACATATATATGTATATTACCAATTATATCACCATTATCTTTGCAAAGCTGTAGTTTCATTAGTCAAAATATAAATAGGCACATTTTCCCTAGCATTTCTCACAGACTTCTCGATTTAGCCTTGATTTGTGCCATCTGTTTTCCTTCCCATTGGGGCTGATTTTACATTGTGGAAATGATCAAAAAAAAAAAAAAAAAAAAATAAAAAAAAAAAAAAAAAAAAAAAAAAAAAACAGTACAGGACAGAAGATTTTTGAAAACTGATTTTAGGATTGAATCACAGCCATGAACGGCTACTTCCTTCAGCATTATGAACGAGACTGTCACACTTCATCTAAATCACCAACAGTGTAAGTAAATCCGTCTCTCGCCTCAACACCTGCAGACATTGTTTCTAAAAGCATAAAGAATTCAATTAAGATCTAAAATGGAAAATCAACTAAACAAGCATTGAACAAAAAGCAAAATGGCACAGCATGTGATAAAGTGTACTGTGTTTAGAAGTCACAAGGATTTTGGACTATTCAAGGCAGAAAGGCACACTTCCAAGTTCTAATTTGCAATTAACGACTTGTAAAATTAAAGACACTGAGTGATACTGGACAGGGGCGGGTAGGAGCAAGGAGCATTACCAATGCCAGAAATGGCCCCCAAGAGGTCTTTGTGCAGGCTGTGGTCGAGTGTGTTACCCTTCTGTGGTGTCACAAGTGGGTTCCCAGATGGCATAGCAAGGGACTCATCCTTCACAGTCTGTCAAAGAGGGAGAGAAACAGTCAGAGATGGCCGAACAAGACTCGTTAACTGTTCTTAAAGTGTGAGGAAAAATGGTGTAGGAAGGAAACAGAGTGGCCTGACTTGCACAGCATCTCAAGTGGGAGAGCAGATGCATAGCGCATGTGAGGCATGTGAGGGAGGAGGAAGGGGGGGCACTAAGCTGGGGAGACAGAGAAAACCTGTCCCCAGTTCCACCCGTCGCTTCTCTTCCTCCAGCAGCTTGAGCATCTTGCCCTGGCCACACTCTGACTTCCCACCTTTCGAGACCCTTCCAGCCTTTTGTTTCCGGCAGAACAGGCTTCCCTGGCTCTTTCTAACTGCAGACCACGCTTTTCTCACCCTAATAAGCCATGGAGAATTATGACAGCAGCAATGACCGTCTCTGGATCCTTGGATGGGAACTCTCCAGTCAGTGGAGAAACTATATTAATTTTACTTTGGTGAAACCCAAAGAAAGATTTATTCATTTTCCTCAGGGTTAAAACAAGACAGGAGGTTATGCGCTGTCTTTAGAAAGGTGATACTGGATGAGGTCAGTGAGGTGTGGGGAGGAAACAGAAGAAAGCTACTAACCTGATCATCTCAGACAACATTACTTAGGAAATAGATTAGTAACTGAAGAGACAGTGTAAAAAAACGGGACAGTGAATCATAGCAGAAGAGACAGAAACTCCCTAAGTGTATGCTTCAATGTCTAAGTGGCCAGATTAACAATGGAGATGGTTCAAGGTCCAGAATAAAGAGGAAAAAGAATTGGTGATCTGTCCCGTCACTGGCAGATAAGCCCTCTGAGGCTAGGAAAAGAGCTTGGGCAAGAGAGAGAATATGTTTCAGTTTGTAAAAGTTTCATAAAGTTTAATAACTAAAAGTTGTCTAGAGAGATGGCTGTGAGTAATGTGCCTGGTACACTAGCATGAGGAACTGAGTTTGAATCCCCAACACCCAGGTAAATGCCAGGCATGGTAGACCATGCCTATTATCCCAGCACTGGGGAGGCTGCAGAGACAGGTGGGTCCCCAGAACTCACTGGTCAGCCACCCTAGGCAAATCTGTGAGCTTTAGGTTCAGTGAGAGATCCTGTCTCAAAAAAATAAATTAGAGAATGACAAACGGAGACACCCAGTGTAGACCTCTGGCCTCCACACATGCATGCAGAGGCATGCACCCATGTGTACTTGCACACACATATGCAGACATGCATATATCATGCATACATATGAACATACACACAACATTACAGATTAATAATTAAAAAGGCTTTGAAATTGGGATGTGACAAGATTTTAATGTTAATGCTCTGCAAATGCTGAATTATAGCATGATTTCAAGAAATTATTTTTTTAAGAAAGGGTCTCCCTGTAGCCATAGGTGGCCTAGAATTTGCCATGTAGATCAGGCTGACCTCAGTATCATGGAGATCTGCCTGCCTCTACTTCCTGAGAGCTAGGATTAAAGGCATGCAAGAATCTTTTTAAAAATAAATTGGGGCTCGAGAGATTTGACAATAATTTGAGAGATAGCTCAGCAGTTAAGAGCACTGTCTGAACTCTACACACATGACATACACAGGTACACTTACATATATGCAAGTAAAACACCCATACACATAAAATAAGATAAATAAATTAAAAAATAATAAAATATAAATAAGACATATCAACAAGAATTGAAGACCAAGTAAAAAAATAAAACAATCTTTATGTAAAGTGTTTGAGGTAATTTCTGAGGTCATCTTAGAGCTTATTTAATTTTTCCTACTTCTTTGAGTGCTACACCAAGATAATGGAAATTAAAGGCATCAGTTCTCAGAGGTGGGAGCCTCATGTTGCTCTCTTGGCATATTTACTTTTAGTCTAATCAAGAGAAACTGGAGCTCAAAGAGATGGCTTTTCCCGGACTGTGCAGTGTATCACTATCAGAACCAAGGTCCACATGAGCTGTAATAGACACAGACTAGAATCATGACATTTTTTGCTCCTCCACTCCCCATACATGTTTGCTCTGAGACAGAGTTTCATGCAGCCCAGGCTGGCCTCAAATTTGCAATCCTCTGGCTGCCATCTCCCAGGTGCTGGGACTGGAGGCATATGCCACCGTACCCAGTTTTCCCATACTAATTTCCCAGTGTTTTGCTAAGCACACAGAATTAGGCTATTAGGAGATCAAGACTGAATATTTACTGATTAACTCAATCTTAGCCAGAAATGTAATTTATCAAGAGCATTATATGTGATATTGTTATTGGCAGAATAAAAGGAAGGAATACATTGGATTGGTTAGTGTCCCCTTCCTACCAAATCTGTGTCTACCTAGAGTCTCAGGATTTAATCTTATTTGGAAATGCATCTTTCCAGATGTAATTAAAATATAGTTTAGGATAGAGTCATATTGGGTGGGCCCTAAATTCAGTCACTTATGAGGAGGGTAGGGAAGAGGACACACAAAGACTGATACACACCAGACAGAACTCCACATGGACACAAAAGAAGAGTGGAATGACACAGCTCACCAAGAACACCAAGGGCTGTCTTGTCAGCAACCAGAAGCTAAGAGAGAAGCATCCCTTCCCTGGAGCCCCTGAAGACACCTTGACTGTGTACTCCCAATGGGAGGGGATAAAATTCTGCTCTAGTACACAGTGCTCTGTAGTACTCTGCTACAGCAGCTCTAAGGACACGACAGAGGCTGTAGTCAGTAACTCTGCTTACGTACACTGCCCGGGTTCACAGGGAAGGGCGACACATCCCTCACGTTGATCCGCTGGACGTTTTCAATAAGCAGACCAAACAGAGGCAGGTAGAGAGTGGCTATCCTTGCCTGATGACTCTGAAATGGAGACATACATGGTAAATTTGCCCCACAGTTCTGAGCAGTGGAAGATAGACTAGGTTGAACCAGTTATCTCCATTATTGGGATCTTTCCTGCAAGGAAAACGTCACAGTGTTGTTACCATGCTTTGCCTAAATTGTTTCTTCTATCACTTAAAATAAAGGACATTTATCAACGCCTACTTCCCTTGGAGAACACTCACCCTCGAAGAATATCTGTCATCAAAAGAATGTTTTATCAGTAGATTCTTGAGCACGCTGATGGCAATCACTCGGACCTCCCGAAATTCCTGGAGGGCAGTGCCCACCTCTCTCAGTAACAGTCCCACCAAGAAGTGGTTTCTGCAGAACTCGTCTGTTAAGGAGTAGTCAAGCTGGAGATCTGAAAGGGAGAAAGTATATTTGCTCAGGAGGACCCAGTGCCATCTGAACAAAATAAAATCACCACCCATCTTCACTCTGCACCCCTTGTGTGTGTGATGAGACTCAGCTTCACACAGGAAGAAGAGTGATTCTCTATTGCTGCTCTACTTTTTAAATTAAAAAAAATTTATTATTTTATGTGTATGAGTGTATTGCCTGCATGTATGTCAGTGTACCTGTATGTGTGATGCCTTTGAAGGCCAGGAGAAGGCGTTGGATCCTCTGGTACTCAAGTTACAGACAGTTGTTAGCCACTATATGGGTGATAGGAACTAAAGTTCGGTCCTTGGCAAGAGCAGTCAGTACTCTTATTCACAGAGCCATCTCCAGCCCTGCTGCTGAAACACAAATAACTGCCCTGAATTTTGATTGTGGAACTTGTGCCATTCTCCATAATGGGTGATTAGTTTTAGTACCAATTTTAGCACAACAGCAATCATATTAAAAATATAATTTTATTATTGACAAATTAAAAAAAGAAGTTATTGTAATCGTAAAAATATAGGTTAATATGTTCATAAAATCACATATTAAAGAAAGAATTAATACATATGCTTTATTAAAATGTCATTTACTTCCTGAGTTCAGCTATCCATTCCATAGCCATCAATGCTTGTATAACTTTCCCAAACCCAATGCATTAAAAACAATTTTTTTTTTTTTTGGCTTTTTGAGACAGCATTTCCCTGTAGCCCCAGCTGGCCTGGAGTCACTGTGTAGACCAGGATGGCCTCAAACTCACAAAGATCCACCTGCCTCTGCTTCCCGAGTGCTGGGATTAAAGGTATGTGCCACCATGCCCAGCTTTTAAATTTTATATATTTAATTTAAAAAAATTTATATGCATGAATGCTTCACCTACATGTATGTAAATGCACCATGTGAGTGTGATGCCCATGGAGGCCAGAAGAGGGTGTCAGATCCTCTGGAACTGGAGTTGCAGATGGTTGCTAGTTGCCATGTGGGTGCTAAGAATTGAACCTGGGTCCTCCTAAGAGCAGCCAGTGCTTTTAACCAGTGAGCTACCTCTTCAGTTCCACAACATATTTTAAATGACTAACATAAGCACATAACATATTTATTCTGCTTTTACTGAGTAATTTTTGTAATATTTTCTAAAATATTCCTCTTAATATTTCCAGACCTTAAAAAGCAAATAAAAAATTAACACAAACTAAAACTGAAATAGTCAAAGCACTGACCCAAACTCATCAGCAAGCTACACGTCAGAACTGAAAGCCCCTCCTCGGGAAGTGAGATGCAAACATGAACTCTACTAAGGGAGGGTGAATAAGAGCAGCAAACTGGTCAGGAAGCTTAGAGGACTGAGTTGTTAGACTGATAACCACTATGAGTGGAGATCCTATGAACCCTCCTTTGACTTGTACCACATATCTGATAGTTACTTAGAAATCTCTCCAATGTACTGTCTGAAGTCCTAGGGAGTTCTTTCGCAATAGAAAGAATATTTGTTTTTCCAGAACAATCACATTCAGTTCCTTATTAAACCCAGTTTATGCAAACCAGACTTCTCAGCTTGAATTCATGTAAACTTCTCAGAGAAGAAAATGATTTATGGTCTAAGTGTGTCTGCCTTAAGGTTAGTGCATGATCTGACAAACTAATTCACCTTCAGTCCTTCAGTGAAGAGAAAAGCTGTCTGAGATCAACTCTCTTTTAGACTTAAAGGGGATTGAAAGCAGTTCATAAAGACTCAACATACAAACATAAAAAGCTCATGAAAAAGCCATGTTGCTTTAAGCATCTGCTGTCACGGTGATCAAGGGCTGTGAAGGTGGTGGATGCATTTTGAGAGTGAAGCAAGGCTCGTTTGTTCTGTTTCTTAAAATAACACCCAGTATCTAGTGGCCCAGGAGCAAAGTGTCTCCCTGGGATGTTACAGCGATGTCTTAGCTATGTGGAAAACAAATTCCCCCATTCATCGGGTATTTCAAAACTGACCATAGCGAACAGAAAGGCTCGAATGAAGAGCATATGGAAGCATCTCAGGGGTCACTTGCATTCTTTATTTTTTACAGGAGGAAAATGCAAGAAAGCAAACATGGTGCCCACACCTACCTACATGAGTGTCATTTGACTCCACAGTTGGTGAAAGAAAAGCTAATCCATAAGAAAAAGGGGAACGTGAAACAAAAATAAAGTCCAGTAAATAAGATGGATTTCTGTCATTCAAGCATAAACATTTTTTAAAGGAAAAAGTCATGATATATATGTCTGATAAGCCCAGAAAAGTAAATTTCAGACCTGGTATGATCTGTAAAGTAGTCTGGTAAGTTTGCTGAAAAGTTAAGTATCTGCATACTATTTTAACAATGTTTTTGGAAATGGAAATTACAAAAGAAGAAAAACATTTAACCCATCAATGAAAAAAACCAAATTATAATATTTGAACCAATGCTTTTCTTATTAAAAATGAATGGTTCTCTTTGTGAGAAGATGAACACCCGCGAAGTCAGATTACCTTGGTATCTTTGAATCCTGCCTTTCCCAAACGGCATTGGTAAGTTCAAAGGAATATAATGTTCATGATTGCACACCACTCGGAGAAATTCAAACTTGTATTCAAAGAGGGTCTGCAGGAAAAATGTCTATAGTCACAAAATTCTCACTGGATATTACACATAGGAATATATATATATATATACATATACATATACATACATATATATATAATTAGAAACAAAACACCCAGGCCATTAGTGCTAGCTCCTTGACCCATAGGAACTGAAATGTTTCATTCCTTTACAGAGTTTAGGATGGCTGCAGGGATTGGTCAGAAAACAGAGAACATACTTCATTAAACAATGTCTTCACTGACTTTTAGGGAATATGTTATTTATGCTTCTCTTCTGTCTATAAAGGATTTCAGGTAGCTTATAGTTACAGAGACTCAATACTAATTTAAAAATTAGTAAGCCGAAGTACAATGAAAAAAGACAGATAATTCCATCAGAAAAAGGCTGCATGGTCTTTTCTTTAGTCTTGTTAAATAAACTAATTCACAAGACATACACTTTTGGTTTTCCAATTGAGAAGTTATTCAGGTACTAAAGAAAAAACCAATAGGTATATCTATTTTTCATTCTGGGCTATTTGGTCCCTAATACCACACACTTATTAATGCAGATAAGTACTAGTATTTCAAAGAGGGGAGTAGAGTGCCTCTGGGACTGAAGTCTGATGAGAAGTGAGAGGAACAAGTGGATTTTCAGATGTAGCCAGCCAGATGCAAAGAACGGTACCCAACAGCCACCCTACCTTCGGGTCTCCGGGAGCAAAGCAGCTGATATAGTTGTTGATCTGCTTGAAGACAAAGCCCCTGTCCATGAAGGTAAAACACCTCTGTGGAGGAAAGAAACACCAGTGTCAGCAGTTCAGGCCCACACTTGTGGAACCTTGGGTGCTACTTATCTGAGAACCTCTGCGGTCACCCTGCTGGGTAGCTCCTTAGAAAGCATGCTGTAGTCACAGCTGGTGCCCCGGCCCCCTGGTGGTCCATACCTTGATGAACATAGCAAGGCTGTGGTTTGCATTCTTAGATGCCTCTGGGTTATCTCGAAACTTCTGAGTGATGTGTGGCATCAACATGTTCACAACAGTTTCCACTGCATGATGGTAGGAAGCAGGAAATCGCTGGTTTCGCAAAAGCTAAAAGGGATTGAAAACAAACATTTAGTATTTTCTATGTTGCAACAATTGAAAGTAGGGATAGTTCATCTCTAAGTCCATTAAGTAAAGCCGAGGTTCTAATCTAATTTGTCTGACATTAGATAAGATGAGTCACTCCTATTGTCGCCTGCTAAGTTTGCTGAAAATTAAGTTTCTGCATACTATTTCGTCAATTCTTTTGAATATGAAAATTTCACAAGGAAAGAATTTAACACATCAATTAAAATATCAAACTGCAGTATAATATTTGAACTCTGTATTAGATAAGTGCTGAAATATTTGGACCTGTTTTGACACAATGAAGACCACTGTGGGTAGTGGTATTCATACAAATGAGAACAGAGATTTGTGTGGGGAGGGGCAGGTGTGTTCTTTGAGACAGTATTTCCTTGTAGCCCTGGCTGGCCTAGAACTTGCTATGTAGACCAGGCTGGCCTCGATCTCACTGAGACCCACCTGCCTCTGCCTTCAGAGTACTGGGATTAAAGGCATATGCCACCATGCCCCGGCTGGGGATAGAAATTCTGATCCAAAAGGTTAGCAGGAAAAGGGAGTGGGAACCTGCATATTCACTAGGCATCTTTGATGATTCTCTCAAAAACCTTTTATATCTCTCAGAAACCTTTTATATTTTTTATTTAAAATTATTTATTTATTTTTTATTTATGTGTGCACCACAGTGTATGTGTGGAGGTTAGAGGACAACCATTTATCAGGAGTTGGTTCTCTACTTTCACCATGTGGGTCTAGGGATCAAACTCAGGTCAGCAGGCTTGATGGTAAGTGCCTTTACCCATCCAGCCCTTTCAGAGACCTGTTAGAAAGCACTGGCCAAGCTTAACCCCAAAGCATCCAAACTAAAAATACATACATTAATGAATGCATGCATAAAGGGCATGGCAGGAGTCTGCTTTCAAGTAACTTTACATAATGATCTTTTTTCTCACTAATATGTACCTAAATATATTACTACTTAGCAATTAGCTGCATCTGTCACTATACATGTACATGTCAGGCACCTGTACTACATATTCTTAGGTACTTTTCATTCAAGATTCTGGTATTTAACGCATAAAACATGTTCAGTATCATGTCAGAAAGATCCAGGTCCCGCCTCCACGGATTTTGTAAGATCCCTATGGCTCAGTCTTTATCTCAAAGAGGGTCAGAGAGGGTAGGCAAATGTATGCTTAGTCACACAATTCAAATGATTCAGACCCAGATCTTCTAGGACTCCAAAGTTTTCTGTTATGTGAAACCACAATGCTTCTTCCCTGGTCCCATAAACAAAGAAATTTCCTAATGAAGTGGGAATGGTGCTCAATTAAATATTCCATTTATCCATTTATGCATCGAATTCTAACAGCCACAAAAGCACTGCCACCATGTAAAAATGAGGAAACATTAATAGTTCAGAAAAAAGCACTAATTGACCTTTACCTACCTTCCCTTTCTTTTTTGGTTTGGTGATGGGACTCCTTTAAAATGCAGGGACACATGGCTGCCCAGCTAGAGTCTATTTCCCAGGCCAACTTGCAGTTAGATGTGGGCCACATGACTAAGTTCTGTCCAATGGGCTGCAGAAAGTGACAGGTTTCTCCTCCAGACCATGCTCCTAAAAGGAGTGGCTTGCTTTCCTTGTTCTTTCCCAAGCCTGGAATGTGTTGTGGTGGTGAGCCAGTTTTTACACCATGGAGATTTGAGTAATGCCCTGGACTGGATAACTGGATAGGAGGTTGAGTCCCTGAATGACCTTGGGGAACCAGCTGCTCTCCTCTCCAAATTGTCTATCAGCTCACAGTTTTCCAAATAGAAAACCAAGTCTTTTGTCATACTTAGGCCATTGTTATTCTGGCCTGTTATAGAACTGCTAAGTTAGAATGTCTTCAAACAGGTCATACTTTGTAAATGGAGCCAGGGCCTGGATCCTTCAGACACGACACTGTGCATTATTTTATGCATTAAATAGTATAACCTATTATGAAATTTTGAGATACTAGGTTTTTTAATATTTTATTTATTATTTTTATTTTATGTGTACGAGTGTATTGCCTGCATGTATGTGAGTGCACCCATGTCATGCAATGCCGCAGAGGTCAGAAGAGGGTTTCAGATTCCCCTGGTATTGGAGTTAAGGATGGTTCGTAGCTGCCATGTGGGTGCTGGGAATCGAACCCAGGTCCTCTGCAAGAGCAGTCAGTGCTCTTAACCCTGAGCCATCTCTCCAGGCCCTGAGGTACTAATTTTTAACCATTTCAATTTCCAAATCAACAGCAAGAACATTTTTCTAAATTCAAAACCCACTGAGGCAGGATCAAGTCATAAAAATATGAATTTAACCTGCTCTCAAAAATGGAAGGGCTGTTTTTGAAATTTCAAAGGGATTTTGTTTCCTATGTATAACCAACCACCCTGTATCCTGAGATGAGTACACTAACAGATGACCAGCTTCCAGAACCCCTGCAATGGTCATCTAACCGTTAGGCAAGACTGCTCACTACCCAAGCTGGGGACTCCTGGAAAAATGGCACCCCAAGACATGTTGTTGGGCCTTCAGAATTGTGCTGACTCAGTGGCTACAAACACTAGGAAAATACATGAGGAATTCTGTCATGGATTGCATGGGCACTTGGCAAACCTATTTATCAATATCGTTATTAAAAGTAGGACTACCAGACATACACATTCCTGATACCATATAGCAATCCAGCTATGAAGTAGTCCTGCCAGAAAGAATTTCAAGCTAAGCTTCTAGATATCACTACAAATGCATAGAGTAAATGCAGGGAGTAAACAGCCATAGTATACAATACTGTGAGGTTACAATTGGCCAATTCTAGTATATAGGAAATTCTGCTGGACAATTACCCATGTTTTTCAACATACCCTACATTGAAAAACAAACAGATGGAAAGAAAACAGTTTGAGAATTTAAAAAAAAAATTGAGAAGCACACCAGCTAAATAGAGTATGTGGACTTTTTAAGATTCGGACTCAGCCAAATGAAATATAAAATGACATTTTGGGGACACCTGGGGTAAACTGAATATAGACTGGGTGTTAGGTGATAATGAGACATATTATTAATTTTACTTCATAATTGTGTAGTAGTGACACTTTTTAAAACCCCTTACCCATTAGTAATGACTCACTAAGTGTGGAATGGACACAGAAAGAGTGGCAGGATGTTGACTATTCAAGTTGAACTGTTGATAACATAAAACTTATTATGTTTTGGGGCTGGAGAGTTGGTTCAGCAGTTAAGAGCACTGACTGTTCTTACAGAGGACCTGGGTTCGATTCCCAGCACCCACATGGCGGCTAGCAACTCCCTAATGCCAGTTCCAGGGGTCTGATGCCCTCTTCTGACCTCCACGGACACTGCGCGACATGGTGCACTTACACACATGCAGGCAATACATTCATACACATAAAATTAAAATAGTAAAAAATTCATTATGTTCTACCCTCAACAGAAAAAAATCTCTATAGTAAGTCTGTATTTTAAAAACCAGTCAATGAACAATGGACATTATACATATCAACTCCTCAGCAAAGCTTTTCAGTGATCAGGAAATGCTAACTACAGGCCTTTGGTGGCTGTAGCAAGCTCTCTTAGAAGCAATAAACAGCTATGGTAAAATATCCTAATTTGACAATAAAACAAACTGAAGCCTTTTTATGAGGTATGATACTCATTTAAAGGTAATAAAGATCCAGGTAATTAGATGTTTTACGGAGGTTACTATAAACTGAACTGGAAGCTCTACAGCTGTTGTCTGAGGAGAGAACCGTGGGACAGCCAAGAGACTTCCCAGGCAAGCAGAACTTCAATTACTGGCCACGGCTTGGTATGAGGTTTCATGTCATCATTATGCTGCCTGTGAGGGTTTTCTTGCCCAGCACCTGTTCTCATAGGACCAGCCTCCTTTAGCCAGTCTGCTGTGCACCCAGCCCCTGCCCTGCTGTAAGCATGATACCCATGTGTCATTCTGCTGGCTGCTCAACCGAGTGAGTGCTCTCTGAAGACCGCAGCCTTGCTGGCACACCCCTGTGAGCACTGCTGTTAGAGCCAGGGCTTTGCAGTGACCTGCTGGTGGGCTCTCCCACACCATACAGGTGGTCTATGTGTACATAGTTGATGCTTCCCAAATCGCCCCTTCATTGGTGAGGACTCAGAACAGTATTCAAATGTTCACTTCTGGGTTCCTTACTGGGTTCTGCCACTCTCTAGTTACAGGCTTCTCTTCTATGGGTTGTTTTACTGCTCTGAAATACAATAAATAAGGCTTTTCATAAATATACATTTTTTTCCTGGGTTTAATGAACTACAGAAGTAACAGAGTTGAGGAGAAATCCACCAGTGATATTTACCAACAGTCTAGGTATTTCCCCTTATCAGAATCTGACATGATTACCCTTTTTGTCCATTTTCTTGAACTTTTCTTCTTCTCATAATTTCCACTCATGAAATCAGTTTTCCTTCCACAATCCACATTTATTTCACTCTCTCCACAGCTGGCCCCTGAGAAAGGAGCCCGAGGTCTCCAACTGTAGGAAGCATTCCTTCTGCAGGACCCCCCCCGCCCCCCGCCAGCCCTGTGCGCTGTGCTCTGAAATCTATGGCTGCATTTGACTACCCTGCCTTGCATCATCTGTCACCAGCCAATGACTGAGTGTGATGCAGATGCTAAGGCAGACTTGCTGCTGGGGGAAATGGGGCGCTGATGGATTGACTTTGGCTTAGGGACTGTGCTGGATAGCTTTAGTTGTCAACTTGACACACCTGGGGAGAGGGAACTTTAACTAGGGAATTTTCTCTACTGGACTGGCCTGTGGCCATATCTGTGGGGGTATTTTCTTCAATGCCGGGTGGTGTGGGAGGGCCCAGCCCACTGTGAGTGGTGCCACCCTGGGCAGGTGGTACTAGGTTGTGTAAGAAAGCAGACTGAGCACAGGCCAGAGGACCAAGCCAGTAA